GATCCCAAGGCATTACACCACACCAGTGATTCCCTGCGCCATAGAGACAGCTGACATACGTTCTCAAGTCTGAATATTTCATCTTCACCTTTGTTTTCTCTACAGGCATGTGCTTGCCTACTACTTACTCCTAAATCGTAGCATGCGAGCTTAATTTCGCTGAGGCTTGAGAAACGGCAGCCAATGTATGAAAATTACCGATAACGTAAGACACTAAAATTTTCCCACCCGATATAACCAAAGGGAACTTTGAAGGAACATGTAGGACCGTCGCCCACTTACTTCATCCTGGGTCAATATCTCTATACGAAATGAAGCTCATCACTGTCAATTTCCTAGCCTGTGCTGTGAAGGGGTGCAAAACAGCAGCAGCATCATATCCGCTGCATTTTCGAGATGCGGAATTAGAATTGCAAGAACTTGAGTTCCAGCCAGAGTTCATACTGAATATTATTCCTCGGATTGATTGGGAAGGCCTGCGAGTCATGGCAAATGAGGTGCGTGTACATTGATCCAATGCAAATCATACCATATGCTGTATAGGCCGTTTGAACTCACCCGGACATAGCTCGGCTTTCCCAAAATTCCTGACACTAAACCGGAAGGTGATGCGCTTAATGATGAGCAGCTTCTAAAGGAACTCCACAAGCTCTTGTTGGAAACACAAGTTGTTGAAGGAAGATTGTGTTGCGGAAATTGCGGCCACGAATATATGATCAAGGAAGGAATCGCTAACTTTCTTCTTCCTAGTCATTTGGGTCTGATAATCCTTTCCGGTTGATTTGTCTTTGGACCTTGCTGACCAAGCACAGTTTAAATACATGAGTCTGAGTACAAGTGAATTCGATCACTAGAACACGAGATGCTTGTTCAGGAATATTCTGGTCTCTTATTGACAGGAATCATTTTGCATTCCGTCGGCGGCTTTGCATTTATCAAATCTGCCAACCGGCTGTCAACTCTAATGCCACACGTAATTTAAGGATGCAAGTCAATTTGGAACATGGAAATCCACGAATATCTTGCAGCTGGTCAACTCATATCATGAGATACGCACTTCGTTGTCATAAAATACAATTCTACCAGCCGGATGCAGACCCTTTTCTCGACCAATTCCAAAAGAACGCCGTCAGACTAATGCATCTATCTATAGATGGAATTGCAGAGCAAGACCGGGAAGGTACCGAGATTTAGGTGGGTGGGTATGGAAAGGGGGAGGGAGAAAGTGTGAGAGAAAGAGTGAGAGACAAAAGGTAGTGGGGAAGCTCTTTGGCATGGATTCACGAAACTCAAGTGGGAGCTTTAGTTGAGAAAACCTTTACACCCGGTCGAACCACAGAGGCACGGAATCCTGTCATCGCTATCCCACTCCCTCTCAAATTTGTAGTCATAGGTCAGCTCTTCGTCTGTTCATGGAGTATGTTAGTACCTCTTCAATCTGACCAGTAAATGTCCACTTACCCCTTTCGATGTCTCGTAATGCATAGATGACGATCCGCTTGCTGCCATCGACCTTGATTATCTTGGCAGTGCAATTGGGCGTACAGCTGTGATTGATAAACCTAGCAATACCACCCCTCTTTGTCGCATCTATAACCGTGTTTTCGTCGATACGAAAAAGGTAACTACTACCGATTCCGCTTTTCAGGTAGCGCCGTTCTCTCATATCTGCGACCTGCTGCCGGACCTTCTCACCCACATATTCAATGATCATGTCGTTGGCAGATATGTTCTCCTCTGCATAAAGGCCCCAATTATGGATGGCTGATCGAGCGAAACGAACCGGCTTCTTCCGTTTCTTCAACTGATTGAACCGGAGAACATCTCCTTCGCCGCTCTGAGTAGGAAGAGCCTGCTTTTGAGCGTTGATATCAGCAATGAGGCGGCGATTATTAACCCTCGTTGAACGGGAAGTGGACTTAGAGATCGTTTTTGCTGCAGCAATCCTTGCGGCTTCTGCAGCAACAGCGTGTGGATCGCTCTTCGCCCTAGCTTCTCGCTCTTCACGGGCCTTTTGAACTTTGATCCGATGCGGCAGATATTTCGATTTCTCCGACTCCAAGATTCGTTTTCTTCCCTCAGTTCTCGCTGCCCCAGTCGTGTTTGAAACGTAGTAACCGGGAATGATGGTCTCCTCGCGTACCGGACCAGACTCTTCAGGGCGATTAAGTGCCTTGATCTCCTTTTGTCTCCAAGCCCAAGCTGAAAGGTTCCCAACATTGGATCTCGAAAATTCTCGTAAAACATCACGAAGAAAGTAAAGGTCCTCTTCATCCTTGATTAAATTTTGCCAACCGTCGAGATCCAGCACAATTGATTCGTCGTCATCAACTGTTGAGCGAGGCTCGTCATTCGATACTCGCCATTCAATCTCCGTTCTAGGCTCTTCAGTCTGCTTGCCATGCTCAAGACTACCAACTTGGGATGCAAGATGGCGGTGGTCTTTGCCGAGATTCTTGAACTCGACATTAGCACTCCATGAGTCCATGAGTGCCAATGCATCATCTTCTTGGCCACGCCCTGCTAATTGACGCTGAGGGACCAAGGGATCCGTGCCAGTTGAAGATGGTTCATCTGCCGCTGCGACGACATCCTGCATGGTAACTGACCGAGATGGGGAGTATGTCATGTTTTGATCCTCTCCAGATCCTCCTGCATCGTCCATACCGAAACATTCATCGTTTTCTTTCTGTCTCTTCCGTGCCTTTGCTCGCTCATCATCCACCTTCCTTTTGCGTGATGTAGATGGGAGTCGGTCAGTGACCTGCTCGGGAGCCTCGTTCGGCGAAACGCGAGATATCTCATCTCTCGTGATGTCTACATCGTGAGACCTATCGCTATCGGTCTGCCTTTCGGCAGCAGGAACATCTAATGTTTCAGAACCGAATCGGTCCAACTCTTCCTCTGAGTCCGATGTCTCAGAACTCATTCGGCTTGGGGCACGACTGTCTAAATCTTCAGTGTCCCTGGTAAAGGGCGTCCTTTGCTCATCGTCTGAATCGTCCACATCGTGTAGTTGCTGGAGACGATGGTAAAGTGGTCTTACTTCCTTTTTTCGTAAGGGCTGTTTTCTTCTCTCATCCAAGAACGCAGCGTTCGTGCGATCCAATCGATGCGCCTTTCTGATCCGGGGAAGAGCAAGTATATTTAGACCAGACGAACCCAGAGGATTCCTACTGGTTGACAAGTCGGAGCGTGAGTCAGGTGTGCCAGCTGAACTGTCGAGGTCGATGCGGAACATAGGCCTTTTAGCCCCTTCCGGCTCAGGAATACCCAGCCTTTCCCTCTTTGTAGCATGTCGAACTGGGTCAAGGTAGTCATACAAGGCCGGTGCGGCAATTCGAGACTTCACATCTTCAAGTAATTTGTCTCGTAGGTCCCGGATTATTATTGCCACCACCTCTCTGCAAGGGTCCAGATCCAGGGCACGTTGTCTCTTCTCTTCTTCCACGTCTAACTCTGTTTCCCTTTTCAGCCTGTCCTTTTCGGCTCGCTCTCGCTTTTCCGCCTGCAGTCTTTGGGGACTTGGACTTCGTTCGTAATTAGGGTTCCCATAGGGCTGACTCTCCATGTTCATGATGTATGTGAACAGGGGTTTCATATGGCACATCTTGTAGCATCTTTCAGTTTCTTCTTCGCCGCGCCTTGAATTCTCAAAAACAATGTAGTACCCTGTCTTATCGCACCGTATGTCTTTCCAATCGAATAATTTGAGCCTCTTCTTCAGGTGCGGAACGGTGGTGCTGAGCACCGGTACGTAACAGTGTGCGATGAAAATATATGGGTCACGCTTGATCTGACTCAATATGGGCGTTTCTTCCACAAGTGATGGTACAACAGGCCTCAAAAAGCTTGCTCTCGGCCCTTCGGGGACTGGGACCGTAGGGCGCATTTGAGACCTTCCAGAAGGGCCCTTGGGGGCCGTCGGTGGAGGCTCATTATTTTTGGCCGATATGCCCGTTTTAGCTTCCTCTGCAGTCAGAAGATTGTTCCTGTCCCCCATCCTCTGAGAATCAATTGCCCTTGTCACTATTTTTGCCGAGACGATGCCATCACGGTCTAGCTCAACCCTGATTCTGCGCGTTCCAATCCGTTGCTCCTTTTTGCATTCATAATAGGCTCGCCTGGCTGCATTCGCCGCGAGAACGGGCCCACCTCCCCTAAAAGATGCGCTATCTTTGTATTTGACTGAACATATTCCCAGAAATCTACCGGTTATTGGATCCGTGCGGTTGTTGATTTCAGAAATCTCTCCGAAGCTCGAGAACAACGCATTTATTGGGGCAATTGGAGTCAAAGGATCGAATCCGGTGACCACTATCTGTACCGGGGGTCCAGGACCAATGGTTGTCGAAGCGTCGTATGGCCAGTGTCTTAATGAGTAAGGAGCTGGCCGGAATTTGGTCTTTTGCTTGCAGCCACCACCTCGTGAATAATTGGAAATCTTTAGACGAGGGTCTGCTGGTCGATCGTCTTGCCCATTAGACACTATATCCACATATCGCGCTTTTCTTCGCTTCTCCTTCGAGGATATCCGCTTCTCCGAATCAGGGTCATAGACTAACTTCCAGCCCCTCACATTTCCAGAAGTGCGACTCTGCGATCGGGGCGTTGGTGGGGTTTGTAGGGGCGTCATGGCGGGCTTCATATCGTCGGTCTTCATAGTGCCCGAACTATCTTCGATTCCGTTGGCTATCCTTATGTGAGATGGACTGAGCCTCTGAGCAGGCGAAGACTCCGCGTTAGTGAGTGGCGTAAGCGTATCCAGACGCGCTTCATTCCCATATGCCGTGCTATGGTTATGTGTCGATGGGCGGGAAGCCGAAACGCTCACGCTGGCAGAACTTGCAGGTCCATCGCCATTGACAATAGGCAACTTGTGTTCCTCTGCGTAAAGACTTTGTGTCAACTCAAGGATTGCCTTGGGCTCTTCAAGAAGCGTATGCCCTTCATCGCTATGATCTTGGTCAGGATGGGCCTCGGAGCGAGGCCGCTCCCGGATGCTCTTGCGCTTTTGCTGGAGGACAGACGGTGCGGTTGGGAAGAAGTCTGCAAATCCTGCTGATGAGCGCGACATGTTGAGAGGTGGCTACAAGCCAAGACCACGACAGCTCCGACCAGCAGGTAGCATCCTTAGTAGTTGTATATTATTCGGTGCACGGATTTATTGGCAGGAAATATCCTGGGCACAAGGCGGTAACGCGAGAAAAGTAAATCAGTAAAGTCTGGAGAAAGCGGGTAGAATCGAGAGAAGCAGGCTCGGGCGGAATTAGAGGAAAGGAGGGTTACAGAAGGGGTGGGTTTACAGCTCCTGGGGTAGAAAAATTAAAATTAAAGAGGGTATGATCGAAGAGGGAAGGTAAGAAAAGAAAGCAGAGATAGGCAGTACTGATTAAGAGGTTAAACAATCTCGTTTGCCCCGTTCTGGTAAGCCCCTACCAACGCGACAGGAAAAGCGCGCGGAGAGAGCGATTCATGGCAGGAAATGGCTTGCAAGGTGGCGGGGAGCGTAACAATCCATGTGCGATTGCGATGGACGGCTCAACAAACACGGCTGTCGGCTAGGAAGAAGGCGTAATACACGAATTGGAAAAGCGCAAAACGAAAGGGCAGACAAGTACTGCACATTTCCATAGTGTCTGCGAAGTTATAGGCGTTTTCCGCGTTTCGACGCAGACTATCTTCCTTATGCAGTTTCTGCTCTTAATACGTACATTAGGGGTGCGGAGTACGCAGCGATAGGTAGAAAAGCCATCCGCTATACTTTGTCACTTTAGGTCCATTGCTCCTGTCTACTACCCCAGAGGATGCCTAACCAGAACCTTGTCAACCGTTATGTAAAATCGTCAACTCCTACGCTAGTCCTGTGCCGATGTTATCCTTTGATCATTTAGCGTATGTGTGTTACGTGCTGTGGTGACCTTTCACTTCGCGAAAGACATCGACTACCCAGCGGACGGTAAAAGATGTAGATTCCATCCCAAAGTAAATAAATGTATGCATATTTAGCAGTGCATCTTGATGTCACGGCTCTGCATGGCACTCCGGAAAGAAGAAAGACCTGGCGTTCAAGATCGGTTGGCATGATGATCCTGCTGTTCGCATCCGTGGCTTCATCCTTTGACAAACTTGTTTTGCTGTAATGCAATTGCCGTCGTCATTCCAATATACTTGGTTTTACAGCCTCTGGAGATACAGTGTAGTATGGAACTACATCCAGCTTGTATGGCTTGTGCTATATACAATAATTATGGTGAAGTTCAAGTAAGGAACGGTGGTAGTAGTTAATAGGACTTGGACCTGAGCTTCAAGTCCAATGTCTTGCAAGATTGGAACCCTTCCGATTTGTAACAGCTTAGACATACTGATGAGACGGTGGTGAAGTGGACTGTCGTCCCCGCGGGCTAGTGGGCTTGAATTTCAAGGTATCACACCAAGTGTGTTACTTCAACGACTCCTGAGCTTACCAGGCTACTATGGGTAGGATGAGTGATCTAACCGATAATGGTGTAGGTAGAAGATACTAGATAAGCTTGTTAACTTCTCTTGGGCGGTGGCGAGGCACTTACACGGGGCTCGCGGGCCAAAACTAGTACTTAAACATAGCAGTAAACTATAATAGTTTGCCTGTCTTAACTTTCATCTGATTCTGTGCTTATAATAAAGATAACACTATGTAGAAATATGATTAGGCTATCAAATTTCCAGACTACGCATCGCACATACTTGCATCTGGGGGGGCAGATATCTATGCAGCAGATTTTAATGCGAGAACCGCGAAGAAGACAAACCGTATACACGCAAATTACCAGTAAGAAGTTGAAAGCATCAGCCTCCAAGGCCGCCCATTAGAGCTCAAAACCCTACAGCACTGAGGTGTGGGGCTTCTAGTCCGTATCGGTATCCATCGCACAGCAAGGCAGACTATTGGCGACGCTGTGTGCGGTACTCCATAAAACTACAACTTCGCTGAGAACACCATAAATGTTGTCGGGTATGCAGAGTCCTATATTGTGCGACAACAGATAGCACCATAATAAACCTTAAGCTTTGACTACTGTATACAGTGACGTAGTCCATCTATTTACTCCTTGCTTCCTGGAATCCGGATACGAATCATGAAAGATATGGAGTATTGCATGTAGGCCACTTCTTTGTCTTTGCCACTCAGTCGGCGGTGTGCCTGCATGCTCGGTAGGCATTCTGCATCTGCGAAAGTGTTATTAGCATCAGCTATAATAGTTTTTTGTACGTGAGACTCATAATCCAGGTCTCATTGAATGGCCTGTCACATATATAATAAACCCCATGCTTTACATATCATGTCCATACTTAGAAATATTGACTTGCCCAACCTGCTTGAACACGAGAGCTCGGCGGCTCCTGAAGATTGGTTTGGGATCTTGTTTGGTTGAACCACTACTATTCGGTATTTGGCTTAGGAAAGGGGAGCCTCGAGTTTCTGGTTCAGTTCCCCATGGGTCAGATGAAGTACCCAGGGGATACGCACGGTGGCCCCTTTAAAACACATCGCGACAAATACCCCTCCCCCTTTTCCCACTCAATTATCTCGGTTCCCATGGGCAAGTTCACACCAGAGGCAAAATCTAGTGTGGGATGCGACTCAAGAACAAAGAGGGGCACCCTCACGATTTAGGGCCTCTATCTGCTAGGTTCTTTGTCCTAAGACACATACATAACTACTACCGACATGGGTGCTGCACCTGCCTTTACCTGCCGTCAATAACTTGATGTGTTGCATGTTCCAACTGTAGTAGTAACATGTCTTTCAAGCAGGTCACCACTACCATCGGTAGGGAGGGCGAAGTGATAGTATATTTATTACCTAGTACTGAAGTTATTATTAGAAACCTATGTTTAGAAGTCCCCTAGATCATATACTCCGTCTCAGCATTAGAACCAGATCCATGGCGTCAGGGAAAGAATTTGCCTAACTTGACTAATAATAGTTAAAAGTGGAGCGCTATTCTGACGATGCAGGTGGGGGTGAGTATTCTACTTCGGTATCTACTGAGCAATTCGTACAAGCTAGTACAATAATACTCAATCGCTACCTTGGATGCGGATGGTCCTGGCCTGACTCAGGTCACGGGTGAAACATACCAGTCGATTGTGTGAGGCGCAGGGTGGGCTTATTGGCTGCTACCTCATTTGACGAATGGCTGAGTGTGCCTATAGCAGCTTCCCTGGTCTGTGTGCCAAGGTGGGTCGATCTCACCACATAAAACATAACAGCTCCCCCTCCTTTCTACCCTCCCAATTGTTTGTTGATCCCAGTGAACCACCTCCTCAACCTCTCCGTGTCCTTTCCTCCTGATTCCTCCTTCTTTCAACTCCCCCTTTCATACCTACACACTTGTTCATCACTCCTTTTCATAAGTAGTAAGTTACATACATTGCCGAATGCAATGTTGTCGGTGTCTTGATTAACATTGTTCTCTTCAGGTGAACTCCTTTCGATATCTAGACATAGTGTCGTCTTCTTGGAACATCAAACGGTCCCCTAGTCTCTCCCACGCCTCCGAGTAATCACATCAAAAAATAATCATGTGGTATGTATGGCTCCAAAGCTCAATTTGTATATTGCGATGTCTAATTCAAACTTTAAAGTGGCATTTTCGGCTACATCAACTACCTTGTCGAAAGAGACCGCAGGTTCATTCTCGATACTATACTTAACGGTCAGTCCCTCTCCATCGTGCCAGCCTCCGTCAGGTCTCACATCGCTCCGCGAACATGTCCTATTACATCTTGTATCCTGACATCGCGTAGGTCTTTCTAGACTCGAATACCGCGGTTATGATTCAGCCGGTCTCGCAGTCGATGGCGACAAGAAGAAGGAAGTCTGTGCCTTCAAGGAAGTTGGCAAGGTCGCTAAGTTGAAGGAACTCATTGAAGAGTCCAAGCCCGATTTCACCAAGACTTTTGAGTCCCATGCTGGCATTGCTCACACACGCTGGGCTACTCATGGTACTCCGTCTCGCCAGAACTGTCATCCTCACAGGTGGGTTCACTGAATTTACGTCGATTGGATTAGGCTTAGGAAACATGAGACTAACACATGCCACCTTCCAGATCTGATGCCAACTGGGAGTTTGCTGTTGTTCACAATGGTATCATCACCAACTACAAAGAATTGAAAGCCTTGCTGGAGAGCAAAGGATTCCGCTTCGAGACCGAGACTGACACGGAATGCATCGCCAAGCTTACTAAGTATCTTTATGATCAGCAGCCAGACATTGACTTCACGGTGTTGGCCAAGGCTGTTGTCAAAGAACTCGAAGGCGCTTTCGGTCTCCTCATCAAGTCTGTGCACTATCCTCATGAAGTTATTGCGGCCCGCAAAGGTTCCCCGCTTGTTATTGGTGTGCGAACTTCAAGGAAGATGAAGGTGGACTTCGTTGATGTGGAATACTCCGAAGATGGCCCCCTCCCAGCGGAGCAGGCTTCTCAAAACGTTGCCATCAAGAAGTCTGCTACTGGATTGCTTGCACCTCCTGACAAGTCACTCCTGCACCGGTCCCAGTCTCGCGCTTTCCTTTCCGATGACGGCGTTCCTCAGCCAGCCGAATTCTTCTTGTCATCAGACCCATCAGCGATCGTTGAGCACACTAAGAAGGTCCTTTACCTAGAAGATGATGACATTGCTCATATTCATGAGGGACAGCTGAACATCCATCGTTTGACTAAGGATGATGGCACGTCTAATGTCCGCGCCATTCAGACCATTGAACTTGAGCTACAGGAGATTATGAAGGGTAACTTTGATCACTTTATGCAGAAAGAGATCTTTGAGCAGCCCGAATCCGTGGTTAACACTATGCGCGGTCGACTGGATGTCGCAAACAAGCAGGTCACACTGGGCGGTCTCCGGCAGTATATTTCTACCATCCGTCGGTGCAGAAGAATCATCTTCGTAGCTTGTGGAACCAGTTACCACTCATGCATGGCTGTGCGTGGTGTTTTTGAGGAGCTTACTGAGATTCCTATCTCAGTTGAACTTGCCTCGGACTTCCTGGACAGACAAGCGCCTGTGTTCCGTGACGACACATGTGTCTTCGTTTCCCAGTCAGGAGAGACAGCCGATTCCCTGATGGCCTTGCGCTATTGTCTCGAGCGTGGTGCCTTGACTGTTGGTATTGTTAATGTTGTCGGCTCATCCATCTCCCTCCTGACTCACTGCGGTGTGCACATCAATGCTGGTCCAGAGATTGGTGTCGCTTCTACGAAGGCATACACATCGCAGTTCGTGGCCATGGTTATGTTTGCACTCTCGCTTAGCGAGGATCGGGCTTCCAAGCAGAAGAGACGCGAGGAGATCATGGAGGGTTTGGCCAAGGTATCAGAGCAATTCAAGGAGATCCTGAAGCTCAATGAGCCCATTAAGCAGATGTGCGCCAAGTTCTTCAAGAACCAGAAGAGTTTGCTGCTGTTGGGTAGAGGTGGCCAGTTCCCTACGGCCCTTGAAGGTTAGCAGGTTGATCTTTCCTATAATCACTCCTCAGTTAACATGATTTTATAGGTGCGCTTAAGATCAAGGAGATCTCCTACCTGCACTGCGAGGCTGTTATGTCAGGCGAACTGAAACACGGTGTCCTTGCCCTTGTCGATGAGAACCTACCCATCATCATGATCCTTACGAGGGATAACATCTTCTCAAAATCACTGAACGCTTATCAGCAAGGCTAGTCAATCCTCCGCTCCAATCCGTAAGCTTTAGTCACTAACCATCCTACAGTCATTGCCCGAGGAGGCCGCCCTATCGTGATCTGCAATTACGATGATCCAGAGTTCTCTGCCGCTCAAACAGAAAAGATTGAGGTCCCGAAGACGGTCGATTGTCTTCAAGGTCTTTTGAACGTTATTCCATTACAGCTTATTTCCTACTGGCTTGCAGTGGGAGAGGGTCTCAACGTCGATTTCCCCCGTAACCTCGCGAAGTCGGTTACTGTTGAATAGAGAGCGAGAAGCAAAAACGATAGATTCGTGGGCACGAGACTGGGAACTCTCAATTAATCCATAGGGTCTCTAAATTAATGATGTTAACATATAAATCCTGCAGTATTGGTAGTTTTTACCCATGATTCTCCTAGTTGCGGTTTGCTTCTGCCTCCCTGCTGTTGTAATCGTCTGTCTGAGGTGTCTCCGACGTTTTGTCGCATGGCAAACCGTAGCAGCCAGTAGTCTCCAGCGATTTAGCCTTGCACATATCGAGTCGAATGCAATAACGTGGTCTTCCATGGGTTAAGAGTGAGGGACCTGGGGACATCTTATTACATCAGTAAGTACTGCTAACTAGATAACTAGCTCAAAAGATCATTATCCTTGATCCAGCGGGGTAGACTTCCGTTCCCCACTTTGCGCCGGAACTCCCACTTCTGTTGCACATTGTTTGTCCGTCTCGTCAGTTTCCCCGAACACCATCTTCCTTCAATTTGACAACGGTAGCCTATTAGGACCAATATCTGGAAATTTCATTACAGGATTCGGACGTGATGACTTCTCTGTCTCTGAAAGGCCCAGGCGCTGCGCAGACATACGATGGTAATAACCTCTTTCAGGATGATCGTATGATTAATGATCCGTCTGCTAAATGATGGAATCTTAGGGGCTGGGCTACGAATCGCCATTGTCCATGCGAGGTGGAATATGGGCATAATTGGTCCTCTCGTGGATGGGGCTAAGCGGAGCCTCCTTGCAGCTGGAGTTTCTGAGAATAACATAACCATCCACACTGTTCCAGGCAGTTATGAGTTGCCCTTCGCCGTGCAGAAGTAAGCATATTGTCATCATGTCTTTTCCTTCTCGGGCATTTCATTGGAGACTTCGGAGACTGATGCTGACTTTTGTACGCTGTCAGGTTATACGCGGCTTCCCAGATTGAAGCTTCCAAAGGCTCAGCCTCGGCGCAAGGCATCAGTGCCACCGATTTGCTGTCCTCCTCTACAGCGGACCTCACGAAGGCATCTCCACAGTCGCCATCTTCCGATACGCCTAGACCTTTTGATGCCATCATTGCCGTTGGAGTGCTGATTAAAGGGGAGACTATGCATTTCGAATACATCGCGGATGCCGTCTCTCATGGATTGATGCGTGTGCAGCTCGATACGGGAGTGCCGGTCATCTTTGGCGTGCTTACTGTCTTGACTGAAGAGCAAGGCTTGGAAAGAGCCGGCATGGGCAAAAAGGGGATGCACAACCATGGAGAGGACTGGGGTAATGCTGCAGTAGAACTTGGAGCAAAGAGAAGAGACTGGGCTGAGGGTAAAGTTGTTTAGTGGACCTTCGGCAAGGCATCGATTTCTTTTCCGTTTTGAGTTGGTTCGAAGTTGATTTACGGTAATCGATCACCTCTACAAAAGAAGAATAATCGATTGCTTTACGTTGAAGATCGGAACCTTGATTGGCGGCCTTAAGTCACAGTTGCCATATAGCATACATTCGTTTACCGTGCATTAAGATATGAAGGTCACATGAATAAGGGCAAAATAACGAGATGGATTATTCTTTGACCGAGTTCCAAGTGTAGGGTTAAGGCTATAAAGTTCACTCCTCCATCCGTTCATTCTCGTTCGAGTCACCCTTTGTTGCGTCTTCGTCCTCATCCTCTCCCTCCAGAGCTCTCTTTGCTGCCCGCTCTGCCTCCTCACGGAGTTCTCTAGGTACCTCCTCGTGCCTCCCCTTTGTCGGACCGTCTAATGAACTGATCCAAGTCATTTCCAGTTCAAAATCCTTGTCCTTACTGTCTTCATGGGCGACATAAATAATTCGAGCCGCTTCCTTCACTCCATCGAGAAGGCTCAGTGTGCCGGAGCTCAGGTCGAGTTTCTCAAGCTCAGCCTTGGCTGCTTGTCTCCCTTTCCCAGTGGCAGCGCCATAATAACCCTTCGATAGCGTCAGCATCGTCTAAAAGCACCTTTGTAGATTGCAAGAACATACCCAGTACAGGCCGCTTGGTTCAATCATATATAGACCTGGGCCCCCAGTCTTAGCGCCTTCGACCTTACCACCAGAACCCGCCTTGGGCCCACTTCCGACTTGACCGTCGACAGCAAGCTCGGCTTCGGAGTCCCAGCCTCCGACAATAGCGGTCACGCCAAAAGGCCTGACACTAGAGTAGAGTGTGTAGGCTTGCACGTAACTCCCAAGGCGATTGGATAGCGCGGAGGTTGGAATTGGCCCTTTGTAGACACTTCTCCACGATGAAGCCTCGTCACGGGCCCGAGAAACGAAATGTCGCCCGTCTGGCACCAGTCCGGCGGAAACCTGTCATGGAAGCAACATATTAGCGCGACAGGCCCCTAAAAAGCGTAGATGCCCACTATATGGAATCAGCGTGGATCCTTACAATGCCAACGTGACGATCAACCGTAGCTATTCTCTTATTGGCGCCAGGCTTCAGAAGCTTGCTGGTAATGATTTTCTCTACTGCGAGCACAACACCGTCTTTGCACCTGATACCAATGGCTGTCCCTCCATTCTCTACCGCCTTAACGGCATATTCTACCTATTTTGAATAGTCAACAGAGCCGCGTCTGCTATGAAGGTGGAGGAAGGCGAATGGATACCTGGAAGTTGCGACCATCTGGAGAGAAAACTGAGTTGGAGAGATCGTACCCAGTGCCAATGGAAGTCTAGGTAAAGAGATAATCAGTTACAGAGGAACGTCGACTTGGGGATTGAGAAACGAACCATGGCTGGTGAGGGTTGTTCAACACAGATTCGAGTGATAAGAGTAGAATCAGAAGATAGGAGAAAATCGATAAGATCAAAGTGATGAGTTACTGGGGACACTTGAAAGCTTTCACACAAGCAACGAGGCAGATAGCGATGTGAGCACTCGGGTAAGGTAGGTAGCTAAGGTACGCGTAGTTAGCAATGCCTGCCTAAGCACGAACAGCTGAGTACATCATCCCCTTCCTGGTATAGGCTAGTGTCTTGCCGCTTTTACCAAGCCCGACGCTGTCATGTGATGCGATCCCTGCAGCTCTGCTTGGCCCCACTCCGCTGGGTTGCGATAAGGACTGAACAAGTCTCACTGTATCGTTCCTATACATACTATAATATAGTATACTCTACTTGACAAAAGCTATTGCACAGCGCTTGCGCGCCACAATTGATTGGGGCTTCGATGTCAACGCATACAAGTTTTCCACCCGGTCAATACTTTCATATTCGAGGGGATACCGGTATGTACATACCCGTATACTAATTCTATGCATGTGGGCTGGCATGTATTACCAGTCTTTATCCCCGCCGGCTGTCTCCTGTCGGCCTGAAATCGATCATCTTCTTGAGTGACGTAGATGGTTCTGTCAGGACATAACCAGCATCCGGTGGGTGGTCAGCCGCGCAACCTTCTATCAGTAGGTAGGTATTTTCTACTCTCTGTGAACCAAGAGACTGTGAGACTGCATGAGTAAGGTACTGATTCTACCGTCTTTCATTATAAATGCCCAACCATGTGTCTGTTTCGGGCATCGACCTGTGTTTCAGTTGACATTTGACCAATGTTTCCCGCCACCTTGCTTGATGTTTCCTATTTATTTTTCCAATCCACGGAGCACTGATATCCTTTACTTACTCTGCTGCTTGATTCCCTTCGGCTAGAGGGCTGTATATCCCAAATTGGACCTGGAGCTGTCTAGAGCTTCAATATTTGTTCCCTCCCACGGCTTTGCCACCCGCCCTTTCACTTCGAGAACACCGAGCAGGAGAAGGTCAAGCGTGCATCATACATCCTCCAATTTGCACACTCCAAGAACATAGACGATATGTCTTCATCCATATTGCATAGCTGCCCCTGCTGTGGGCAAGTTACAGATATCTCCAATGCACTTGCTGCTTTCATCGAAAACCCCTATTGTAGCCAGGTAGATACTTCATATATCTAACTTTATGATTCCATAAGCTCTCTGACCAGAGAATCATGCAGTGCGGATTGTCCGCTTCTGAAAGCGATTTGAAATTACAAAATGATCTCTCAGCACTTTTCGAAAAGCAAATGAACCTAGAGATGCCGTTATCACCCGAAGGGAGCGTGGGAGCACAGCGGCCTGCTCCCTCATCCCCAATTGTGTATAGCATCACGCAACATTACCATCATTCTGCGCATGTTGCTCAACAGAATGCTACTCGTTCCTCAGAAGGAGTTCCTCGCCGCGACCCCAATGCTGCCGTCAACGAGACACTCCGACAGCACAACGTGGACCCCTCAACACTCTCAGCCAAGCAGACGGAGCTTTTTGAACATGCCATCCCAGAACAACAATCACGCCTCATCCAGATGTGGCAGATCTCCCCAGAGCACAGCTATGCAGCAACTGGTCACGCCAGCGAAACCAGATTGCTGAACCAGGAAAGGTCGAATGTAGCCAGTGCTGTTGGCCATGCCCCGACTCCGTTGGATTGGGCAGCCACAGGTGGTGATCGTGAAATGTGCGATGTACCTGACCGGAATGAGAATGGAGATGATGGACACCTGTATGCTGAGCCATATATGGTAACTGGATATGAGGCGATAGCCCAGGAAAGGAATGGAGTCCCTGCAGCTCAGCCCGCACACCTCGTGGCTGAACCAACAACCGGATCACCATACAAGCTTTCGAGTGACCCTATTTACTATGCTCACTGTCGAAGATGGTGGGAACCTACACAGCAGAGTTCGGTAGAGTATCAATACGGTCTATTCGACGAGATGAACCGTCATTCCCATTGCGGCTTAGTGCAACCTCGTTAGATCGAGTGTACAAAGATAGCTATGGCGTTCAATCCCACTATTTTGGTAGTTATTGCCTAGATGATGTTACCATAATGACGAGCATGCGAGTTTCCGAAATGGCCAATACCAAGAAATGTTATGTTTGATAGCTTTATGTTTTCCTGGCTCAGTAGAATTGTAGGAACCAATTAGATAGTCTAGCTGATGCCGTCAAAGAATATATGTGCTTGTAGCGACTTGAACTACGGAAGAAGCCTGCCAACTATAGGCAAGCTGTAGAGGAAGAGAGAACATGTTAACAGGTTTTTGTAGTACTAGTTTTCAATAAGCAATATATGGCCATGGGGGCCCACAGGCAACTTCGTAGACATGACGAAACTATGCTCCCTCTATCTCCCAAGCCCCTTTTGTTCACCATCTCTTCCTTCTTCCTCCCCAAGTTTGAGCACCTCACCCATTCGAGGGCCACTATAGGTATTCAATCAAGGTCTGAACCGAAGGGAAAGGGCTCAAAGAGGTAGTTGTAGCTGCCAGCATCCAAAGGAGTCGGTGCGGTAGATATATTGCGGCAAAGAGTGACTAGACAGTACGCAGCACTTGGTTTGCCGGTCTTCGATTCGGCCGAGTTATAGTATGACCATTTGTAGAAGTTTTGGATTTTTTTTTCTGGATTTCAAGCCAAGCCCTTCCCAGCGACAGTATAACAGTTTCGGGAGAGAATATGACGTAGTTCAAAAGTAACATGATGAAATAATATGTAGCAAGAAGAAGATAACGAAGCCCGATTCTGATTGCTTGAGTCCTAGAAGACTGGCGACGGGCGAGAAAGAGAGGCATGGGCTTGTTGGAGGCAGTAACCCAGTCTACTGGAAGTCGGACTCGTCGATATCTGCCATAGCCTCCGCAAAGGCATCGGCAGAGCGCTTGACTTCACTGCCGGCTTCGACAGCCCGCTTGATCTTGTTGCAAGGCTGGCCAGGCAGGACACACCATCTCTGAAGGGTCTCGGGGGTGGCATCTGCAATGGCTTCAGCCAGAGCATCGGCAGACCGCTTGACTTCTCCGCTAGCATCAGCCGCACGCTTGATCATGTTGCATGGCTGGCCAGGGAGGACACACCATCTCTGCAGGGCAGCAGCCTGCACAGTAGTGGCAGCAAGAGCAGCGAGGACAAGAGAGACGAGCTTCATTTTTAAAGAAATGTGAGGGGGTTTTTGTTTTCTGAAAGTCAGATAAATTGAATTTGAGGAACGCTGTTTGAGCTTTGGCTTGTCAGTTTGTAGTTCTTCAAGATTGTCAAACATGGAGAACTAGAGCCTTTATATAGATTTTTAGAAAGCCCCAGAAAATCCGGGCCAGCTCTACCTTGCTGTACATCAATAGAACATATCGCTATTCAAGCGGGTCCAGAGCCTGAGCTAGGAAAGCAAAGGTAGGAAGCAATGACATCGTCCTTGAATAAAGCACCAATTGAACAGGACGACAACACATCAGTCAATAAAGTAGATACGGCTACTTCCACAGTGTATTGAATGACAAGGCAAGAGAAACGAGCCAGAGTTTCACTCGATATTGCCACCAATAGAGTCGAAATGATGGAATAGGGCTGTCTCCAGTTATGACTATCCGTTTGGTGTTAGCTACCAGTCTCAATAAGGAATAAAAGGAAGTAAATTGTATAGTAAGGTTGCGATAGAGACCCAAGGGTCAGCATTGAGGAAGTTTCTTTATCCACCGTCCACTATGTTCTCTACAACCTCATATTTAGTAGTATCGCAAGCTTGCCCTGCCAAATTTGGGTGTCAATAACACTCAGGCTTAAGAGGTGGTCAAAATATCAAGTTTTCGTTCTTTTGCCAATAAGACAAAGTATGACCGGATTCTGTCATCAATAAGCTATTGAATACTTTGACCTTGATAAACATGAGTGGTTGTGAACAAAGCACCCGCTCTAGTTCCGCAAATCGGATGTTTTGAGACCCTTGACGAGGACCGGCATGTGGCGGGTCAGCCGTGGTTGTTGTTCCTTAACCATTACGTACTTTCTGGAGACTTTTCCCCTATGTCATGAAGAGAGAAAAGCAAGATAAGATCATGTGGTCGTACATCCGTTCTCCCTTGTGAGAATGTAGCGTAGGTAGAAGATCATGTACGTATACTGGACTGGAACCATTTGAGTCGAATTGTTGGTCGGGGTGATGATAGATAAGATCGGCCCGCGTGAGTAGTTGGTTGTCCGACATGTTCTTGAGTGGATGCCGAGACGATCCGCCGTTTTTTCCGGTGTCTCGTGCGTGCATCGCTGGCTTTAGGTCTTTTCTCGCCGTCTCCGTTTCCGTCTTTGTCTTTCCTCCCTCTCCCTTCCTCTCTCTTTCTGATCTCCCGTCCGCACGTTTTTGGGTCCCCTCTCCTCTCTTCCTCCTTTTCGGTCCGTTCCATCTTATTGTCCCCTTTCCTCGACCCCTTTGTCTATCAAAATGTTCTCTTTGCGGACGGCGCAACCCGCGCAGGTAAGTCGATGGTTCCTTGCTTTTTGACCGATCAATTCCTTTGTCCGACCCGACTTCGCTCGCTCGATTCCTTGCCCTTACTTCCCTCCCACCGCCGCCCGCTACATCCTTTCGCCCGGCTGAATTAGAGAGAAACGCCTGGGCGCACTTGGAATACAATCTCCCACCTGCTTTGCTCAATTGCCTTTCGTTGACGATCTACGATTTTGATTATTTCCTATTCCCTCTAACGCGGTTATGCTTGGCAGTCTTTGCTCCGTCGCGTTGCGGCGCCGACTTCCTTCCGTTCCTCCATCTCGGCAAGATGTGCGTCAGCCCTTCCATTCGCATGCAGTACCGTACTGCTAGAGACACATGGTTTATTGACTCTATAACTCAAGCCTTTGCTAGCGTTCAGTCCGATATCTTCAAGCCCACTAAGTATGGCGGCAAATACACCGTCACTCTTATCCCAGGTACCTACATTCGTCTCTTTCACAACTTGATCATTTTGCTGATGCTTCGGTGATTCGCTTTCTTAAAGGTGACGGAATCGGAGCCGAGGTTGCTGAATCGGTCAAGACTATCTTCAAGGCCGACAACGTTCCCATCGAGTGGGAGCAGGTAGATGTTAGCGGTGTTGACACCGGTAACAAACACTCAGAGGAGCTTTTCAAGGAGTCCATTGCTTCTCTGCGCCGTAACAAGCTGGGTCTCAAGGGTATCCTCTTCACCCCGGTTGAGCGCTCCGGCCACCAGTCGTTCAACGTTGCTCTCCGTCAGGAGCTGGATATTTTCGCCTCTATCGTCCTCATCAAGAACATTCCCGGCTACAAGACCCGTCACGAGAATGTTGATCTTTGCATTATCCGTGAGAACACCGAGGGTGAATACTCTGGTCTCGAACACCAGTCCGTGCAGGGGGTTGTTGAGTCCCTGAAGATTATCACTCGCGCCAAATCTGAGCGCATTGCCAAGTTTGCCTTTGGTTTCGCTCTTGCCAACAACCGCAAGAAGGTTACTTGCATCCACAAGGCCAACATCATGAAGCTTGCGGATGGTCTTTTCCGTAGCACCTTCCACAAGGTCGCCGAGAACTACCCGACTTTGGAGGTTAACGACATGATTGTCGACAACGCCTCCATGCAGGCTGTTTCCCGGCCCCAGCAGTTCGACGTTATGGTTATGCCCAACCTGTACGGTGGCATTCTCTCCAACATTGGTTCTGCTCTTGTGGGTGGACCTGGTGTTGTCCCTGGTTGCAACATGGGCCGCGACGTTGCTGTGTTCGAGCCAGGCTGCCGTCACGTTGGCCTTGACATCAAGGGCAAGGACCAGGCTAACCCTAGCGCTATGATCCTTTCTGGCTCTATGCTTCTACGCCACCTGGGATTGGACGACCATGCCAACCGCATCTCCAAGGCCGTCTATGATGTGATCGGTGAGGGGTGAGTTTCAGACTTTTGTTTCAACCTTCCAGCTTGATTCAGAGCTGTCGCTAATGCGAAATTCTCTAGTAAAACGAGGACCCGCGACATGGGTGGACAGGCTACCACCCACGAGTTCACCAGGGCAGTCTTGGATAAGATGGAGGCTGCTCTGTAAATTATTACCCACTTGAAAACCGACCTCCCACCTTGCATGTGGTACCTGCTACAATTATGATGATGAGAGCTTGTATAGGCCAGTGAAATGTTTTTGTTTCTATTTGTAGACCATGTCTGGCCTTTCTAACTGTCTCTATAATCTGTACCCCCTTTCACCCCATTTGACGCAACGACGCGCGGCGTCGGACACAAAATTGTGTGCTATGGCGTGTAAAACTGTACACAAACGTTTGAATTTGGAAGCGTGCCTCTTCAATATCTTGGACGGCTCAGTAAAGAACCCAGTAGACAGACGACCACTGGGGTATCCAGTGTTTAGTAGATACGAACCCCAACGCCCTGACATTGGTGGTGATATTATCCCCTTTGGGACAGTATTGGCTCGCCCGGAGGCAAAGAAACGGCGCAAAGGAACCTCCAAATGGAGAAAACTCAAGTGGTATGCAAACGTGAAAATTATAGCCGCGTACCTGTTGCCGGGCCCCGCTCTAGCTCTCCAGCAAAGGCCGACACCGGAACGCTGGATGCTTTTCAGTGCCAAGTGACAAGCACAGGAAGATCCGCCCATATTATAACGGTCTGTACTGGGGTGAGGATGTGATGGGATTATAATAAGCACATAATGATCGCGCTGCACGAGAGGGATCAAAAAGCGGGACGTCGTTTTCTGCCGGTGTACTTTGAATTCGCCTTCACAACCTTGCCTTTCCGAGTCATCTGCTCCTTTTTTCGCAAAATCCAAGCCTTGTCACCCTTTCTCGATGATGCTTGTTTGCCACGCTCCATAGCCCGTTTCCGGGCGTCCACAACATCCACGTCGTTCATGCCATTGACAACACCGGTGATGTCACCTTGTAATCCACCCCCTCCAACGGTGAGCACGAGATAGAGTTTGCTGTTTTTTGTACCCGGGTCATCTTCCAGTATACCAGCTCCAAAGCCAGCCTTCATGGCAGCTCCACTGATCATGCTCCGCTGAGCGTCGTTCTTTGGATAAAACTGGCAAACTGCACGACCACCGCGCCGCAGACTAGCATAGAGGCCCTCAAAGAAGCGACGAAGACGGTACTCCGGACTAACATCACTAGACTCCGCATTGCAAAGCCACTGGATAGCACTGATACTAATGGCTGCATCGAAGGTTCCTGGTCGGAACGGCACACCTTGCCCGATGTCAGCAAGAAAGAGGTCGCCATCGACACCGCGCTGGAGGGCAACATCGAGCATGCTAGGCGAGATGTCCATGCCGATCCAAGTATGCGGGCCTCCGTCTTCGGGAGCCACCTGTGAAAGAATCTCGCCGGAGAGACCAGAGCCGCAGCCAAGATCAAGTATCAAAGAAGGTGATTTCAGGTCCAGGAGGTCGAGTGCCCGATGGGTCATGTCGGACTGGATGTTACGGATACGAGACGAGGTAGTATATTTTCGGGACTCATTATCATCATAGAATAGATCCGGAGGCCTTGAATTGTTGCACTTTGTCAGTGATATATTGGCCACTGGATTTCCTCGTAATCCGTCAAGGGTCACCTACAAGACATCTTCAGGACGTGACATGTTTGCGATCAAGTCCCCAAGTGTTTCGGGCGGTCAAATAAGCAGAGCAGTTCTTGGAATCTGGAAGAGGGGGAGGTCTCAACTTTTTTTTTGGGACTTACTTTCGTCGGGCGGAGTGTAGCCGCGGGGGCTTGGCATGCGGTCCGGTGGTACACCATTTTTAGTAGCCTGAGGCACCAAGTACGGTCCAGATCGGCCAACTGGTTGCTCTTGTTACATCTTGCCAACTATCCGATGCTTGATGCTACTACGCCCATGCCTATCGATTTGATCCGGTCCACAGCGCTCTCACCCTCGACTTCTGCACAATGTGGATCCTACCCTTGGTAGGGTATTTGGGGGTCATTGTCGGGTTCGCTTTCCTTACCTTAGCGATAGGTATGATATGCCCGCAATGCGCGCGATGATGATGACGACGACTGGTCTTGCTCTCGTCACCATAGACAATAGGACGAGATGCCAAGCTCACATGACTTGTGATATTATCTGTATTCATCAGGCTGACCTGTTTCTAGCCTCCGGCCTTTACTACCTCTCGGAGCTTGTGGAGGAGCATACAGTTCTTGCCCGTCGGCTGTTGTACCGGCTGATATACAGCATCATCGCCGTTCAGATCCTCCTCTACGTATTTGACCGATTTCCTTTCTCCTTGACCGCCCTCAGCATCGGCTCGCATATCGTATATGCCAGCAATCTCCGCCGGTTCCCCATAGTCAAGTTGTCCGACCCTCTCTTCATCCTGTCATGTGGGCTCGTCGGTTTGAATCATTGGCTTTGGTTTCGCCATTTTTCACAGCCATTACCTTCATCGCGCGGCGCCACAAGCTGGCGCCAGCCGTATCAGATTAATGTGGAGGATATGCCCACCTTCACGGAGGTTGCGTCTTACTTTGGACTCTGTGTCTGGCTGGTACCATTTGCGCTCTTCGTCAGCCTCAGCGCGGGCGATAATGTCTTGCCTACTATGGGCTCCGAGTATGCCACAGGTGACCGTGTGCCTACTTCGGGGTTTACCCCGGGTACGTTTTCGTCCGATGGCAAGTCCAAGAACAAGGGAATGGCCAAGGCCCTGGTGGATGGTGTGCGGGACTGGGTTAAGGATAACGGGGAATTGATGGGTTTCTGGAAAGGTGAACGGGCAAAAGGCTTCTAGAGGCGAAGTTCTTCTTTGCTCTAGTCCTTTGTACTAACTTCACCCTGTCGGATACCCTTGGCGTTCTGCTTTCGGATCAATCTCCTACACACTCTCTCAATGAATGGCTAGAGGAAAGCCTTCACGAGATATCCACTAGCAGTTACTTGTTCTGGTGGAGTTGTTATTTATACTAGCTATATGGGCTAAAGAAACAAATTAATGAGAATTTGCAGTTTAGAATGTAGCACATGCACAGGCCAAAACCAAAAGACGAAATCATCAGACGAGGGGGTATATTGTGAAGCATGCCTCCTTCCAAAAAGGATCAGGGTGTGTACAATCCAATTGTAAGTATCACAGAGGTATGCTCCGTGTCAACTCCGGACTGCAACAGGCAAGGACAGGGAAGATAGTTGAAACAGAGGGTACTCGATTATTATTAGTATTAAGAGTACCCCGTGGTCCTCAGCTAAATGTAGCAGAAGTACAATGTGGTCATTTCACATTCGTTTGGATCATCGAGCTCGGTCGTGGAAAGGAGCCATACTGCAACATATCTGAAAGTCTCAATGACAACAGGTGAATCTTGGCGCGAGGAAGGGTGATATGCAAAGAAGAAACAAGAAACATTAAGCTTGAGTCGAAGGGCTAAAGAAATTCATGATAAACACAACGCTTAATATGACGTAAGAGACCATCGGAGCACGCCATAATCGTAATTATTCACATACAAGCTGCGTCAAACTTGGAAGGGTCAGCGGAGGATAGTGATTGGCAAGTTTGAGAGAGGACCCATACCATTTTCACCATGAAGCGATGAAGAAAAGTCCTGATGATTAACTTCCATGAACAAGAGAGAGCTCTCCCTCCTCTTCGCCTTTGCCGAACGAGAGTTGTCAATGTTGGGCGACAACATCCTGTTCAAGGACGGCGAGCTTGAATGGCCCATGCTATATTCGTCCGGCCCACTTCCAGTAGAACGTTCATGACTGTTGGATACAGAGCCCTTACCGTTCTGCAGATAGTAGTCATCCATCCCGCCTGCATGTTCACCGAATGTGACTTGACCGTAACCTGGTGTGGATGCCTCCGGAGCAGCTTGACGAACGGGGTACCGGAATTCTTCATGGGAAGGAGAATAATTGACATCCCGCTCCAACGATTCAGCAGTAGCCTTGAGCACCCCATTGAAGATGTCCTCGAAGTCGGTGAGGAACATTGAGAAGACGGGTGCTGGGATGTTCAACGTAGGAGCAAAGACAATACCAACGTTTCTGATTGTCATTTTATTGACATCAGAGTTGTTTACTATAACTATCAAGAACTGAACCAATGCTCGCAGCAAGGCCAGGTTTGGCTGAGGAAGTCGATGAACAAGGTGATTGAAAGCGGCGATCTTCTTTTGTTTTTCATGAAGTTCTATAAGGGTGTGTTAGTAGCAAACTAAAGCGTGCAGTGTGAGTACTTACCGAGTACCCGCAAGAACTCTAGATGAAGCTCACGGGTTAAAACCGTGGTGGGAAGTTCACGAAGGTATTGCTTGAAAAGGGAGGCGACGGCGTGTACATCATGATACTGGTCATCTGCGAGGAAGTCCACATCACCTTCGGTATTGAACCGCTCCTTTAGAGCCTTGACAACAAGATTCGACCCGCTCAACCTAAAAATGCCTTCCTCCGACTCTGCTCCTTTAGCTCTGAGATATTCTATGCAACGATAAACAACCGCAGGTAAATCAACGTCGACTCCTTGTGGTGCACAAAACTGTACAGCTTCAGCCAACGGCAAGCCAAAAACTGGCCGAACGAACTCTCGCTTTTCCACATTGTTCTGCACCGGAGCCAGCGAGGAATCATGGCAAGCCTGGAGCTGAGTAGCAAGATCAACAGACGACCTTGTGCGAAAACCCCAGATGCTGCGTTTCTTTTCCTTAACGCTGGTAGCTGCTTTGTTGCCCCAGGCTCCTGCGTCCTGGATTATAACTCCATTGGTAGGGCCGGAGATGAGTCTAGAAGACGACTGACCATGGTCTGGGCCGGAATCTGCAGTATCGATCGGAGGTCCTGTGGAGGTTATTGGGGACTTGGGGATCTGTCGATCAAACGATGGCCCAAGTACAGGTGGTTCGGCAGGAACAGCATCATCGTAACTGAAGCCTTGAACTGCGGCATCAGCGCTTTCAGTGTCTGGATTGTCGTTTCCTTTGTCTGTCTTCTTGCCCCCGTTTGAAAACAATTTCGGTTTGGCAGGGGGATTAGTCTGTTGTTTCCAAGTTGCTGATGATTGTGATTTTGCGGGACTATTGAAGCCATCGTTCTCTGACTGACCGTCAACATATTCAAGAAGCGCATCCACCCAGGTATCCCTTTCTTCGTCACTCTCAGCACACAAAACATGGCGAACAAGAGCTGACGAGTCCTTGCGCTTGGGTTCCAAAATAAGGAACGCATGGCGATACTGGTTGTCGGAGTCCTCATCGCCGTGGGAGGGTGAGCTGTTTCGACCGCTTGCGTTCTGCGATTGCTTGCCAATTTGCGCGTTGTACAATTTGATCGTGCCAAGATGAGGGCCGCCTGGAGACTCGAAATATTTCAGCTCGGGACTATGCAAGACGAAATATCGTGCTTTCCAGCCGCCGAAATTCTTTCCTCGTTTTGTTAGATACCCCTCCTTCCTCGGTTTACCATCCGGTCCGCGTAGGATTTCGGCACCAGCTTGGTGATTCCCTCTCAGTAGACTCATCTCATCGTCTCGGGGTTCAATGGCATCGGATGTAAGGAATTCACATATGACCAACGCCGCCTTGTCGTCCATTGGGGTATCAAGGAGAGCCTCAAAGTAGGCATTCAACGCGGCACGTCTAGTGTCAACTTTGGCAGGAGAATGTCCGCTGAAAATGGACCGTTCAGGCAACTTTCCTCCAAAAGACGATAGTTGTCGAATCTGTTGATCAAGTTGAGGAAGAGCAGCAATAACCTTTTCAGTGCGCCAAAGCTCCATGTTTTCGGATCTTGAAAATATGCCCAGCGTAAATACAGGTTCTTCCTCCGATGGCCTGGAAGCCATATAGCTATTTCTGGACGGCCGAAGTCGTGATGACGAAACCTTGACATGTATTGAAGGAAGGGCATTTGGTGGCAGCAGGAGGTTTGGATATTCATCTGATACAAGACCTTGAAATATCCCGTTATTCTTCACGACTGGTTCTTGTGGGCTGTCTATTTTAACGGCCGCATCGATTGATGGAATAGGTCGATTGTGAGCATCAACTGACATGGAAGAATATACAGAACTGCTGGAGATTAGGTTAGAAGGGGTCCCTGAAGAGAAAGGATTCTGATGCTGGACAAAGCGCGGTGACAGTGCCAATCCGGAAAGATTGCTCTCAGATGACATGGGCAATGACGACAGAGCACCAGGAATTTCCCTGGGTAAGCGCGGCAAAGGAGAACCCAATGGGCGGTCTTCGGGCCTTGGGCTGACCGGCAAACCGGGACTCTTTGGGATACTGATGCTAGGAAGGTCGCCAAGTGGTCCATTGTGCCTCGTACGGGGACTGGACGCGGAAGATCCTGAATGGTCAATTGAAGGCTGTGTTTGTCGCGGGTTTGAGAGTGAATCCACAGCCGCCAAATTATTTGGATTGTTTCCTTGGCTTCCAGGGTCCTGCAGGGTCTCTTTGTCTCTGTTGAGAGCTGCCTCGCGTTCTCGATCGTCATCATCTCTCGTCCTTCTCCTCCCGCGCTCCATTGGCAACTCATCCGCAGCCAAAATATCCTCATACTCAGAGTCAGAGTCATATATATCAGGTTCTGTTGACGTATCTTTTTGGGAAAGATTCAAGGGTGCAGGCGGAGGTTTCCGGACCGGAGGTGGCACCTCCTGCTGCTTGTTCTGACCTGGTGCAGTGCTATCGACGGGAGATCTTGAATCACTCGAAGAGGTTGGACTCGCTGTCGACAATTCTCGCCGAGTATATACCAGTGATGGATTGCTTTGCGTTTCGGCTTGCCCATCATCATGAACAGTGGAATTGCCTACTGTGTACTCCTTGTCTGGCCGTAATGGCAACTGGCCGACACCAACACCAAGGCCATGTAGCGAAGCCGAATTGGGCGAATCTTGATTCTCGATAGTGGCGGACTGTAGAAGAGTGATGTCCCGAACCTGATTGTCAGAGTCTATACTATCTGAATGCCCCCCGCGATTGTGCGCCTGGGCCTTTCGGCTAGGCCCATGGCTTGTTAATGTTCCGCTGCTTTCGCTATCTCGTGATCGCAATTTTGAGTCAATAGTGGATGGTAAAGGCGGAGGGGAACTCTGCAACTCCTTAACCTTCTTTCTGTAGCGTTCCTTCTCTTTCAAGGCACGTTCGAGATCTTTATTTAAGCCTAGAATGAGTGTTCGCTGCTTATCAACCAATCGCCAGAGCTGCGAATTTTGAGAGGCTGCATGATGCTTTTCCTTCAGGAGGTGTATAATCACAGCCTCAGCCGACCCTGCGGTCGCTATCAAATTTCCAATATCGGCCTGACTTAGCGCATTGGCATCGAATGAAGATTTATGTGTCTGAGAAGCGGAAGAAATCGACGAGATGGCTGAATCAATGGAGGAGGTCCGGGGCATCATACGCTGACCCGGACGATTCCCGGAGGGCGATTGAAGAGAGTTGGCTGGTGAGGTAGGGGAAGACATCCTGGGACCTGTCTGATCTGGTACTTGCTGCGCCCGATTATCACTCATTTTACCATTCAAATCATACTGCTTGAGACTATCCCAAGTGTCTCTCACGACCGCGTCCGATCCGCTGGATGTCTGTGAATGTGTATCCGGAGAAGGGGTTTGGGTTGTCGCATATGCCGTATGATTTATCGTATAGTTGCTCTTGAATAGGGAAGGATTACTGAATGACTTTGGAGATAGCGGAGTCTGCGATGGACTGGCGCTGACTTGTCGGGGTGATGGGAATTGCACGTTTGTTTGAAGGGGAGATGGCGTAAGTTTGCGGGGGGAAGCAATGGCAGCCCCAGAACGCACAGCCTGTCCGTCAGAACGCGGGCCCAGATAATCGCGAGGAATCAAATCGCTGGATAGTGGCAATGGCGAGTGCACCGTGCTTTGGTGCTTAGTTGTAGGTAACGTGGGAAGGGTAACAGGTAGCTGGGTGATGGTGGTATTGTCACTACCTTGCCGCCGAGGCTGCGACATGGCTTGTTTAGGAGTCGGAGCTCACTCCACGCATGGGAGGGAGGCGCGAAACCAGACAACGATTGGACGCTAAACTCGGACGGTTCGACTGGGGGGTTTCAGCACCAGCGGGCCAGGGGGCCAGAGCCAACGGTTCGACGGTTCTTAGATTGATCGAACCACAAACATACCTTCCGCACATGCGAGCCTTCGCTGTGAGGACAACACCGAGAACTGACGGCATCGGGTGATTTTCTGGGAACGGGCTGGTTAAGGGAAGATATTTGAAGAAGTTCGGCAAATATGGCCTCTCATAATCAACTAAGACTAGTTGCAAGATATAAGCCGAGTGGGGAAGGGGCCAGGGGAACAGGGGAATAAGAAAAAAAAAAAGGGGGAGGGAACAGTAGAGCATAAGCAGGAAGGATTCTCCCTTCTTTTTTCCCCAATGAGAATGCAATCTGGGCCAAGATTTCTTAGTAGTGCAGGGAGCTTGTGGGTTTCTATAAGGGTAAGAGCGAGGCAGAAGATAGTATCTTACTGTGGTGAACAGCCAACTTCAGTATCCAAACTTGCAGACATAGTAAACAGTCTTGCTGCATTTACAGATGCTTGATTAAAACGGCTATGCTTTGCTATGACAACTGATTGGTTCAAATTTCCCCAGCGGCATACCCTTTAGAGATAGGCGCAGAAAAAGCATATGCCGCTAGTGGTCCTGCATGAAAAGTAAAGCCCACTTGAGAGAAGGCCTCGAGGGCACCATACTTGTTGGATTTGCTTGGCTGCCCCGTCCATCATGACCCGCCACTGAGGACAAGAAGCTGAGAATCGCGTCAGAAATGGTGGAAAACGCCCATCAGATGAGAAGAGAGGCATATAATGTGACATGAAAACACCAGAACACCTTTTCTAATGCAGCCCCCTGAGTCAAAGTACAACAAAATTCAAGGGTTGGGGTAAAGATGAGATCGCTTTTTCCCCTGTCCAACGCCTTTATCCCAGTGAAACCAAATTAACCAGCTTAACTCCCAGACACCCGTATGGTACAACTATACAATGCTATGCTATATTTCCGGCCATGCCCATAAAGATGGCCTGGGCAGCCAGTTGGAGTGACCAGAAGCCAACTTTCTTGAAACGTCGCTTTCGAGCCTGTTCATCAACCACATCTCGCGCAAACGCATCGTATACCTGCCCAGCGTTATTATTATGTTATAGATCACCTGAGCAGATATTTGAGCTTACCGCCGCTGAAAGATCATCCATCAAGCCGCTATCCCAAGTGGTCCAACTGCCATCAAAATCTCCGAGGCGTTTGACGAGGCGACAGTTCACTGGAATAAAAGTACGCCTTGAATTAATATAGGCAACAATGGGTCTAATAAGCGCATTGTTGATATATGAAAGGTCACGTGTGAAAAGAGGAACAACAGCCCTGACGTTGTTCAAGTGGAGGCGGAGATCGGTGACTAGGAACCTCCTGTCATCTTCGGCAGCGATTTCATCTGACGAGTTCACGTTGGACGTGGCTGACTCAAGATCCAGGTTAGACGAGACTGTCGCTTCTAGCCGGTCATAGAATCCGGCCATAACCTTCGCAAGGCTTTCATCATTCTCCGCCGGAAACATAATGTCGGAAACGATGTCGACCGTCCCCTCATGTATCCAAGAAAACGGGCCCTGGACTCCTCGGTTTAGATGATCAATATTCAGACCATCAATGCGTATCCTGCTATGCTTCTTCCATGGACTTGGTTTACCATCTTCTTCCCCCCCATTTTCCAGCTGTGCACCGGTAAAGCCATGAGTTTGTCGAGGATGGATTGTGAACAATGAGTTGTCGTACGACCCCGACATCATATTGGCGGACATAAAATCATAGAAGAGCCATTGTTTTCTCAGTTGAGGCAAATCACAGGAGAAAATGCTGACAGGGAAGGGCCTAAAGTTGTCTGGCTGGTACACGGTAACCAACACATCGCTCATCTTGAAAGAATCAATTTCGAAGTCACCAGGATTGTGCTCATGTCGGTAAGATTTGGGATCAAGATCGTCATCCGACCAGTGAACATATCTGCGGTCGACTACACCGCGAATTCCCCGTACCTCAACGTCACGAAGAAGTCCTTTACCGTTGATCCACTTCGTAAATGACAACGTAACATTGACTGTTTCGATCGACACATCGAATTGTGTGTAGTTGGTGTCCTCTTCTTCCGACACAGGCCGCTGCTCAGGCAGTTCAGGATTGGTTTGCTCCCCAAGGGCGGCGGCGGCGACGGCAGCAGCGGTCTTCGAAGAGCCCTTACTTACATGTCCCGTCCCTTGTCCTGGTCGCCTGGAGACAAAGACATTCTTGAAAGTGATCACGCCATCTTTCCATTTCGGAACAATTGCAGACTCGAAAACAACCTTTACGCCGGAAGACTTAGTAAGATAATTTCCGATCCAGCCAGCCAATGTTTCTATCAGGATCAGCATCGAATCAATGTCAATGAGAACCACTTCGGGCCTACCTTGGGCGAACACCGTATTAATTGCGATGATAAGCAATGAGAAGAAAGTGGTAGTACCCAAGACTACCCAAACCACATGCCCCAAGAGCACCCATGAGAAGAGAGCGGTTATTTCATCCAGGTTGAAAGGCCTGACACTTCGTATAGAGAACCACTTGAACCGGACCTTAAGTCGTGACCAGAACCCATTAGCTGCAGCCAACAATTCTTCTTTCGTAGGCCGGTGCAAGTGCGGCATATGTGGTAATCGGTCCCGGAGATGGCGGTTTAATTGCCCTTTTTGATGAACTTCAGGTAACTGCGGCTCAGAAACCTGACTTTTATCGTTGGTGGATGTCTCAGGGCTCTTACTTAGACTGTCAGGATGAGGGCGGCCGTCATTATGATTTTTAGGTTCCTTCTGTAACTCGGTCGTCCTCCGATCATCTGGGCTCGTATGAAAACCGCGCCTAATCGTAAGCCAGGAGACAATACCCAAACCCTTTCTTTCCAGTGTAGAAATCCTATGCGGCCTCAACTCCCTTAGAGGGATGGCGTATGTTGCCCCGGCTGCAGTGTGATCAGAGGCGCCATGTACAAAGCCCGCGGTAGCAGGTACTTTCATAGGCCGAGTCGGTTTTCGCGAAAGTGAGCTATATCCTTTCGCAATATGAACATTGCAAAAGCCGGCTCTGAAGTCTTCTGTATTTAATGTATAAGATAGGCACGACACGCGCCTTTCTCGCAATCCATATCCAAATAGTAATTCCGTTGTTCCCCATGAGTTGGTGTACAACCTGCGCCCGAGATAGCCAGACATGATTGCCGTCACATGCTGGACAATCTGAAAAGGCAGGTAAGCGGTAGAGGAAACTTCTCTGGTATTGATCAGAAAGCTAAAAACAGGACAAGCTATTAGATGTATAGCTGGGATGACAGGTGCATGCGTCTCAATCACCGGGCAGAAGCACGGTGCTATCTAACCAGGCGGACCGCGAATAAATTTCCATGAAATCATCCCGCCTCAACAGGAGCGGGTCCTGTTTGTACTGTTTGCATCGAAAATTCACAAATTCACACTATAACCACACATCTTTTCCATGGACCGTAAAATCTGTGATAACGGACTCCGACTCCGATTCACAGCCTAAACCGTTGAGTATTAAGATCCCACTCGGAGCAACATGCCTGCACCCACAGCTTTACGGCAAACTGCCGAAGTAGCAATGGCAGAGACGCCTGTTGCGCCTACTATGTCAGGTCAGTCCCCGCCAGCGCTTTACGGGAACCCGACTGGGTGGCCATCCTAACGTCCATTAGAGCAAGATGAGGAAATTTTGATCGACGCCCAAACGTCGGCAGATCAGGTCTCTGCAGGACTCGCGCCTGAGATTGAGCCTACTCAAGACAGCGATATGCGTATTGACGAAGAGGGACGGCCCCTCTTCACACCAGCAAAAGACACTAGCAGGGTATATCGAGTTGAAAGCAGGAAGGTTCCTGTACCACCGCATAGGATGACTCCATTGAAGGCTAGCTGGGCACGCATCTATCCCCCGCTTGTCGAACACCTCAAACTTCAAGTGCGGATGAACATCAAGAACCGAGCTGTGGAGCTACGTACGTCACGATTCACGACCGATACGGAAGCCCTGCAGAAGGGCGAGGACTTCGTCAAAGCTTTTACTCTTGGATTTGATGTCGACGACGCTATCGCACTTCTCAGATTGGATGATCTTTACATACGTTCATTCGAGATTCGGGATATCAAAGCCCTTAACGGAGAGCACCTCAGTCGTGCAATTGGACGCTGTGCTGGTAAAGATGGGCGAACAAAGTTTGCTATAGAGAACGCTACTCGGACAAGAATCGTCATTGCAGACCAGAAGATTCACTTGCTAGGCGCAGTGAAGAATGTCGACTGTGCCCAGCAGGCCATTGTTAGCTTGATTCTTGGCAGTCCACCGGTCAGTAACCTTGTGCCAATCCTTTCTATTGTCGTTTCAGAAGATGCAACATCTGCTAACTCCTCAATAGGGCAAAGTGTATGGGAACCTTCGTAAGGTGGCTTCTCGCATGAAGGAGCGTTTTTAAGAAAACGGACCGTCAGCATTATGGGAACTACGGTCAAGGGTGTCTCTGCCTCTACCAGGATTTTTTCTTTTTTCATGACATGGTATCGGCGTTAGGGGTTGTGGCACATGATTTGGATAGAGCATAATGGATATGACGACACAGAAACGAGGGAAGGATTACTCCACTGGATATTTTTTATCTATTCATATTGAGAAAATTATCGCAAGAGTATAAGACTAAATTAGGCTGGTGAAGCATCGACTAATCTGGGCTCTGGTATGCCTAATCCTTCTTCAACGGATAGTAGATCTCCTCCACCCCACTCCTGGTAATAACCATCATCTGCAAGCCATCTCCGACCTCAATATGTCTTTCGACGGCGCTGGTGAATGCATCTCGTACCAGCTGTTCAACAGTATCTCTCGGCAGTGGCTCCGCTTTCTTGGGCTCAAGGGCATGCCCTTCTCCGCTGCCCGGGATATATTGGTTTTTGAAGTTGACCTGGTTATCCAGGAACGGCATGATAAGACTTGCTGCAGACCCTGCAGCCCTGCATTGCTCTCTCTCGTACGATCCAACCGGATCGTAGCTGTACAAGGCACCCTTACCATCCTCGTCCAAGCCTGCTAAGATAGCATGCACATAGTAGGGGAAGAACCGTTTCTGGTAAAGAATCGTTGACAAGCGTTGGGCACAGGCTCTCACGGACATGGGCTTTCCGTGTTGGTATTTGTACATCTTCACCACTGCATCTAGTCGCTCTTTAAGGGCCTGGCCATCTGCTGCGAAGCCCACGACTGACAAGACGATATTGGCACCTTCACCAGACTCATCATCACCGCCAATTTTAAACACCTTGGGAACATAACGGGAGTTGATGTTGTATCCTGCAACGGATCGAGTATCTCCAGCCAGGATCGCGAAATCGGAGCCAGTAATGCCCAGGGTAGAACCGCCGTTATCCGTATAGCTGCCGATGTGAGTTAGCTTAGTCCCTATTATATAGTGAAAGACAGTGACGCATACGGATAGAAAGAGTGCTCTCTATGGGGAGCACTATTCGCATTGGAGAAGGAGTATCCGATGGCCTCGCTAAGAGGGTTGCCGGCTAGAGTCGTCATTCTTCGTAGAGTTCGATTGTTGTAGAGAGTATCGATTAGGATGAAACGATAAAAAATTCAGTATACTCTGGTCAGCTAGTAACTGAGGATGTAACGAAGGGTGTTTGTTATGTAGGAAGTTGTGGAATTGAATAGTAGCAGGTGCTCTAGCTGAGCTGTTACTGAGCATCTGACGCGATGTTGTAGCTGCCTTCTGCTTATATAATCACACCCAGCTTCCGTCATGGTCTGGGAGCTTACTGTTGCCGCGGAGTCAACTGCCGTCTCCAGGCTATCTAAAGAAATAAGAGCGGTCTTATTCGAGCCTAATGTCCTTTTCCAACGCCGCCTAATAGTTCATATTTCCACCGAGCGCTTTATCTGAAATTCAGAACGCACCAGGAACTGAAGCCTAATTATAATGCTCGGCCTAGGGGCGTATGAAAGCAGCAGTGATGAAGAAGTGGGAAATAATTTGCCCTCAGTACCATCGAAGGTAAAAGGAGCATTATGCTGTGATACCGGCCTCTACTAACATGAAACCGGCAGAAGATCGCTAGCCAGCAAGCACAGCCGCAGGAAGTGACTAAAGCTACAGGTGATTGGAGATATAATCTACTTTTTTCTGAAACTAGTGGGACGTATTTAACGTGTTACCAAAGCAGAAATCCCCAACGAAGCCACACCATCGAAAGAGATACCTGCTCCAGACACAGACAGGCCTGTTCTTGGACCGACGCATGAAGGCTCACAAGATCCACAACAGCAACCAGCCGAAAATCCACAAGTCTTCTTAGCAGACCGAGCATTGATCCATGACCTAACACTTCCTCCGTTACCAAATCTAGACATACCACCATCTCCCCCTGGCTCTCCTAACCCTGCAGCGAATGCCAAAATCGCACACTTCTTGACCTTGAAGAAACAGGGCATGCATTTCAACGAAAAGTTAGCCGGGTCTACATCCCTCAAGAACCCAAGTTTACTGAAGAAAATGATGGATCATGCCGGAATTGATGATCAAGCGCAGTATCACACATCATTACCACCTGAAGTATGGAGTATCAACGATCTGCCAAGTTGGGGGTATAAAGAGGAACTTTTGAAAGCGCAGAGGGAAATTCAGATTGGGGCTGAAGAAAGGAAGTCCGCAGGACAAAGGGATGCTATCAATTTTGTGGCTGCCACGCCTAGCGAGTCCTCCCGTACAGGCCCTATTTCTAGCTCAAGGACAAAACAAAGGTAATATGCGATGGATATTCCAGAGTGCAAGAATCTCTGCCAATGACAGCCGGGATAGTACGACCCGGCGTACAATGCTTGGGAAGCAAAGAAAGGTCCTCCGGCCCCAAAGCCTATGATGGGAGGCCTCCTCGTGAAAGGAAAGTTATCTGCCGGTGATAGTCTTTCTGTCACAGAATAACTATATAACGTCTATTTCTAGGGCCAAAAAAAGGAGAACGTAGCACTAGTGAATACCCATTGTTTTGCAGGGACGACTGTTTCTTAGTAGCTGGAGGAGGGACTCAGCCTTCTTTAAGGGGGGCAATCTATAAAATATCTTTCCCCTCCCTCCTCCACTAAACAAGTGTCTCATCAAATCAGTTCAAATATAAGTAACAGGCAACGGAAATATATATGATCATCTCCACGTTCTCTTGTAGGGATTACTGTTATGCTGATTTTCGCTAAGCGCGTGTGTTGGCCTCCGATAGGCGCGGCGGGAGGTGATAGCATTGCTCACGTAACATGAGCTCCGTCAGCTCTACTGCCTAACGACCCCAGAACAGCGTCGATATCATCACAAGCTACTATTTCCTTCTCAAGCATCACTTTGGATCTTCACAACCAAGCCCCATTTCCGGCCTACTCAGTGATAATAAAAACTATCATTCATTCTCATATTGTGCCAATCGCCCGTCATGAATCACTTTCCCGAAGCTTGGGGTCGCGTAAGAGCATCATCATCATCGCATTAGATTATTTATGTCGCTAACAAGTTGCTGAAAGCCTAGGGATGACGTTTACGGACCCTACAACGCCTCATACCTCCAGACAACTGGTCCGAAAACCCACACTCAGTCACCTGCTGTGACTGGTACGTCGGTAGTGGCAGTCAAGTTTAACGGCGGAGTTGCAATTGCTGCCGATAACCTAGGTATAGCTGGGAATTAGATTGGAAATCCATTTCGCACTTTCACTGACGGATATCCTTTTTTATAGCATCATACGGGTCTCTTGCCCGCTTCGCTGATGTGAAACGTCTTCGCAAGTTTGGCGATTCTGCCATCATCGGATTCAGTGGTGACGTTTCGGATATGCAGTATATCGACCGACTACTGGAGTCCATCGATATCAGAGAAAATTACTCTACCCACGGAAACACGTTGAACGCCAAGAACCTTCATACTTATTTGTCGAAAGTTTTCTACAAGCGCCGTTCTGAGTTCAACCCCCTCTGGAACCACATCTTGGTGGCCGGGTTTGATGGAGACAAGAAGCCATTCCTCAGTTCTGCGGATCTGCTGGGGACCACCTTCTCAGCTCCTCATCTCGCGACCGGCTTTGGTGCCCATCTTGCCGTTCCAATCCTTCGCCGGCTGTTCCCAGAGGAAAGGCCTCTCGAGTCAATCACCAAGGATGAGGCCGTGGCGGCGCTAAGGGAATGTATCAAGGTTCTCTGGTACCGTGATGCGCGGAGTCTGGACAAGTACTCCTTAGCTGTTATTACTGAAGAGGGAGTTGAGATTCAGGAGGACCAGCAGGTTGAAGCCCAGAGCTGGGCATTCGCCGAAACCATCAAGGGATATGGGGCTCAGGTTAACTAGGATATGGCTTTGATCTAATACCTGTGCTACTTGAGTAATAGAACAAATCCAACAAAATACGTATGGTGAAGTCACTGCGAACGTGTCATGGCTGTAGGGCGCTGTATGTATATGAATGCACAGACTAGTACTTGTGATGGTTGGTGGTCGGGATCCTACAACGTTCAAGGGACACTTGACGGCCCTTGTTACACTCAATAAGCCCCGCGCCACCTGTTCCTTTCACTACTAGCTCACAACTTAGAAGAGGGCTTGTCGAAGACAACGCGATTCAGGCATGATCCGACACCCTCAAGAGAAACCTCAACCAAATCGCCATCCTTGAGCCAGAGCGCAGGCTTTCGACCCATACCAACACCTTGGGGTCTGGAGAAGTGAGCCTTGTGCATGGTAAGTGTGGAATGGGCAGATAAGCGCTAACTTACGTTCCTGTAAAGATTACATCCCCGGGCAACAAGGTGGTACCCTGAGATAAGAACGACACTGTCTTGGCCACATTAAATATCATATCCTTGGTGGAGGATGATTGAACCGTTTGGCCGTTCAGTTTTGTCGAGATCTGCAAGTTGTTGGGATCACGGATTAACTTCGAAGATACAATACCTGGTCCAAAGGGCGCCCATCCGTCGAAGCCCTTGCCCAGGCCCCATTGTCCTCCGCCGTGCTTCAACTGCCATTCACGATGAGAGACATCGTTTCCAACGGCATAACCCAAAACATAGTCCAGGGCCTGACTCTCAGGCACATTCTTAGCTTCCTTGCCGATGATGGCAACCAATTCACACTCATAGTCTAGACCCTCGCCCAGTTGAGCCATACGGGAAACCGGGACGTCATCTGTAGGTCCCGTAACAGAGGTGACGGGCTTGTAGAAGAGAACAGGGAATTTCGGCAAGGGTAGATTTGATTCTTTGGCGTGTTGTTCATAATTGAGTCCCAGACAACGCACGGTCCCAATGTCTTTTCTCGCCAATGGCGCCAGGAGCATTTTAATATCGGCAATCTGGTCTGTGACATGGTGCTGTCCGAAAATATCGCCCTGGATGACCCGTGCCTTGGTGGCTTGGGCAATGTCGCTCACGCCCGCTGACAATAGGGCGTCTCCGTAGTAAGTCTGGCCGTCCTTGGCCAAGAAACGAACCAGACGCTGTGCCATGAGACACGATATCAGTTCTTGAAAGAAGGAGTGGGCCAATGAAGGGATGTGGACTCACGGAGAAGGTAGCCATATCGATCAGCAGTGCTAGTAGTAGTATATACTAGTGATAATACCTGATGTATGTAGTAGTAGTAGGTCAAAGTATATATAAAGAAGGAATGAAGCTTAGGAGTATGAATAGCAGCTGGAGTCTAAATAGAATGTGATATAGATCGGTATTTCAAAGCCAAGTGTGAGTCTGGTATGATGAAGCTCCCACCAGCACTTCTTATCCCGATAGCTGACTAGTTACTAATGTTAGTTAGATAACGAGAGGGGGTTTCTCCAGCTCCTCGGCTCCAGGATTCTCGGCCGGAAGGGGAAAGCAGCTCGGCTACTACGTATGGGGTAAGCGGATCGGCAGTCCCCGGGGGAAAAGCCGAACAAGCTATCACTAGTAAGCATGCTCTGCATTTCCGAACTCTGAACTCTTCAATCTGGTGATGCAGCTATACCACTACTAGCGCTCGCATCTCCTCAGGTCTGCAACAACTATATAGACCCAATGGCTCGGCTATCAGGCCTCCAAAGACAGGTGCTGGCTCTGTATCGGACATGCTTGAGAGAAGCCGGGAAAAAACCCATTGTGAGCAATTACCTCGCCGCGCTGTCAAAGTTTTGATTCACTGGCCAGCTAGCGAACATGGGCTGATTGGTTCTGCTACTTCATATACTGTAACTAGGAGACGAGAGAGAACTTCAGAGCATATGCTAGGTGCGTTCCTTGGTCAGAATTCTGAATTAGAAAAAAAACTGGGTTCCAGCCCAATCGTCTCCTGGAATGCCCGCTCTGCCGTGCGCTAATATCGAAACAGGGCCGAATTTCGAAAGAACTCCTCTGTCAGCAAGAAGGATTTCGGTGCGATAGAGTATCTACTACGGAAGGGGCAGAGGCAGCTTGAGATGTACTCAGCCCCCGGAATCCGCAATATCCGGTGATCCAAATTTCCTGTTCCTTGTGGGGCAGCCCCGGAAATTCCAAAAAATAGCCCTCCTCGTTTGGATGTAGGTGAATGGCCCAGCAAAACGAAATGCAGCATGACTCTTTGCTCCCTATGATGCAACTTTTCGAGGCTCACTATCTAGGGATGAACTCTGATGTCATGTGACTGCGGAAGATTCGCGCGGCTTCTCGTAAGTTGCTTATCTTATCGGGTTGGTGACGGAAGGCTCCAGATGCATCTGGTGTCATCTCGCTCCATCGCTATCGCTGCCAGCATCTGCCAGAACGCTCGGCTCACTTCTATATGACAGAGGAAGTTGGATGATGGCGAATTCTAGAAGTCCTCTGTTCAGTAATAAAAGGATGGAGTGTAACCAGCCTAATGTCTTTACCTGTACTCAGAATCAATCCACTGTCATAACAAGATAAATCAAGGACATTCATATCCTCTTTATCAGCAAAACAAAAGCGCAGCTATCTCTTTCGAAATAATTAGCTTTCGTCAAACACCATTGAAATATTCAGAAGAATCACAAGCAATGGCTTACTTCCCTCGATTTGCCGGTGACTTCGCACCCTTGTTCCAACTTCTGGACGATTATGATGTCCACCGATCCAGCCGCCCCAAGAACAGGAAGGCCACACCCGTCCGCTCATTCACTCCGAAATTCGATGTCTATGAGGTGAAAGACGTATATCACTTGGAAGGCGAACTTCCTGGGGCCGAGCCGAGCAACATCGAAATCGAATTCTCCGATCCACACACTCTTGTCATCAAAGGTCGCGTGGAGAAGAACGAAGTGGCCACCCCTCAGACAGCGGGTCAAACATCGCCAACGAAGTCACACCAACCGACAGTTGAGGATGGTGATGAAGACGAAGACAACAAATCAACTAAGTCCTCGGATAGCCACCCCACACAGCTGGTCTCACAGAAACAAACCGAGCCAATCTGCAAGTACTGGGTTTCCGAACGCCAGACTGGCGAATTTTACCGCACATTCACCTTCCCGACGAGAGTGCATCAAGATGCAGTCAAGGCCAACCTGACAAACGGCATCTTGTCGCTACAGATTCCAAAGGAGCCTGCCCCTCAAGTCAAGAAGATCCGCCTCGAGTAGAGCGATCAATGACTATCGTTTCGGATCTTTCTTAGCATCGGTTTCCCCTCTGCGACATTTTCCTCTTCTTGACTTACCTACCATGGCCAAATGATCTTCTGCCAATTCACGCGACGATATGAATGTTTCTGCACTTGCATTTTGATGGGGTTATGTGGGCCGGGAGTACATTGAAATGATTGTTCAGTTTCTGCATGTATCATAAGTCATCATGAGATGACAAATAATAAATATATAATCTTCTCACATATGCTCCTCGTAGAATACGAATATGAACGAAAGACACCGACTGACGACATCACCCGTAATACGAGATCCTATAGACCTGTTCGATTTATCTTGATCTCTACCTACTGTAGATACTACTGCGTATGTCTATCATCACTGCCAGCACTATCAGTGATTGAGTTTCCATGCTCCACCATCCTACTTGGAGACACCTCGCACAATAATCTAGCGAAAGCACATCATCGATGCACGAGGCATACACATGTACAGGAGTCATCGGATATCAGATCCATAGGTCAAAAGTGAATACCAGCAATTCCCACGAACTAGTCATTCTGTAACTTTAAAGAAATTAGGTGTGGGCAATTCCCTCAAGAATACTTCGTAACTATATCAAAGTGCAGTCAAATACTATATATTACTGTATTGTGCGAGTAAGACAGATAGACACTCTAAAACCGAAGAAAAGAAAGTTTAACCCTTGCGTTAAGCCTACTCCCAAGCACATGTACTTGGTATAGTATTTTGCTTCAATATTATGCATGCAAGATGCAAACTCCCCACCCGTGGGTATGGATGAGAATCATTGCCGACTGTGGGGGTCTGCGGCTCCACGATTTACACGGTACTACTCCATACTAGATAGCTAGTCAAATTGGGGGAACTTTATGCGACTAGCTAATATGTACTACACGTAACTAGCTGCTGGGGTTCTCGAAACTAAATTCCCAGATATAACTGAATAGTTGATTATATGTCAGTCAGTGTCTGGATACATCTATCAGATGTGTAACATTTTCCTTGGGACTGCTTACAGTAGAGGATTACTTACTCACTGTATGCAGCCTTCGGTCGGGTTGGGTTCGACGTCTGCCAGGTGGCGTCTTAGTTCCGCCGTGGATTGCGCGCTTAATTGATAAGCATGCCCGATCCTTTGGACCACCAGGTAAAGCTAGCCAGCCTAGCTCGCTGGGTATGAATGCACGGACACCGCCGGATCTTACTTGACTCGGTCCCCGTCAATTGATGATGGGGAAGTGGTCTCACCGCTACATTTTATGTCTCGGACTGTTGGGCTAGATGGCAGCTTATCGCGGCTATGTAATTCTACTTGGCGCTGATGAACTGTTCACCATGATACATGAAGCCCGCAAAGCGGGAATAGATTGATGAGTATACCTCGCTTTTCTCCTTGTCCACTCCAAGATATGTACAAGCGGAGGGAAGGATCCAATATAATAAGTAATTCAAATGTCAAAAAGTAAACACAAGACAAGAAAAGAAAACTCCTAGACTTTCCCGCGCCAATCGAACTCTGATATAGTACTATATAAACGGAGCACAAACAATCATCCAGGTTACCAAATGGGTATTTGTAAAGCAGGGAAAACGACTGAAGAGAAGAACCAAGACTAAGCTGGCGACGTAAATGAGATATCCGCCCGTTAGACTTCAAAGTGGGAATCCCGGCACTGACGTACAGGACTAATTGCAAAAGGAAAATTTCGGAAGGGAATGGTGATATAACTTGGGGGTGAAAGGATGATGGCAAAGGGTGACGCGCAAGTAATAGAGGAGGCTGGAAAAGCCACCGCATCAACGAAAGATAGTTGGTGAAGCGGCCTTGTAAAGATCTGGATGTTTAGCGTGCCTCGTCAGCCTCTTACGCTGACTTTCAATACTCCGGCTCCTAGCTCTTCCTCTCAACTGTCCAGATACCAGTCTCCCTGTATCTAAGCCCTCCATGCTTTCTGGGACTGCCATGCGAAGTGCATCAATATTTGGCATGGGTAGCCACGCAGCGCTCATTGTGCTGCTGCTACCCTGCACGTCGTGCTCCGTCACTGTGGTCATGGGCTGTTTCCAGCTTTTCTCCGATGGAGCTAGGGATGCTCCGACGTGCTCCCATTGGGGGGATTGGTGAGGTATAGCGCCTGCAGAGACAACTGACAGGCCAGGAGAAGCAGTATCGAGGCTCCTCAATTGGTGGCAATATTGAGAGTAGGGCATTGTATGCCGGTATTCTGGAGGAGTCGCGAATGAACTGCTCCTTAGGCGCGGTTTAGGGGGCATCGGTCGGAAGTCATGACACATTGACCATCTGTGGGACGGCCAGCCATAGCTGTCGACTTTAGGCCTTGCCCAAGGACCCTGAAGGCTTGAATGACGGTGTACAGAGGGCTCAAAGCCAAGTTCTGGGCTGTTTCCGGCATCCAAAAACCCGTGGTCCTTTGAATTACCGTTGAATGTAGATCTGCGGGCCACTCCAGGTTGATGTGTAGATGTGCGAGAATCAGTCGATCGTCTAGTGGAACGGACGGAGGCTGCGGAACTGTAGCCGCTGTCAACCGTTCCCTGCGCATGTTGGAGTTCTCGATGCCCGTGTTCTCGGAAGGAACGTTCAAGCTGGTGGACAAACCATTTTCCTTCATCAGCGATAGAAACACCTTCATCTTCTGTTTCGCTACCTTGAAGTCTGTACGGAGTTGAGGTTGCTGGAGATCTCTCGAAGGAAAATGGGCTTGCAGGATGATCGTCGGGATTTCCCACTCCACTAGGTGGAATCTGTAACTTTGGAGCACGGGCCGTATCGTTACATGGAACGGGAGCATAGTCTTGGATGTTTGATAGATCAAAGCTGGTTAGATCGACTTTATCAAGTGCGCTGTCCCGGACGATCTCAGCTTTACGGGATTGCTCGATTGCACTCTCCGAAGCATAGTCCTGTATGTTCGATAGATCGAAGCTGGTTAGATCCACTTCATGTCCGCTGTCCCGTACAATCTCAGCATTATGGGATTGCTCGTCTGCACTTTCAGAAGCCAACTGCGCTTTCTGATCCATATAACATGGCACCTTGTGGGAAGAGTGCTGGGGCTGTTCCGACTTCGTGTCATGCGTGTTGATGCTGCTTGGTTCGGGATCTGGGCTGTTGGGACGGTTCAATCGAGTCCTGTCGCTGGGGCATGGCGATGCGGAACCATTTACCACACGCAATGATCCTAATTTGAGAGCCCCTAAATGGGTATATTCGAACTCATTGGGAGTTGCTGGACGAAATCGTGTAACCGGACTAGGTAACCCACAAGCATCATCTTCGTAACCGGATGGTAACAGCCTTGGAGATGCAGATGTTTCGTTCAGATAGTTGAGTGACGGCGTGGGTTCGCGTACAACTGGTGAAGACAATCTTCGGGCTGTATCTCTTGCTGGCCTTCTTGTTGCGATCCCAGGCCGTGTTAGCAGCGATCGTCGACGGATGATAGAAAATCCCTGGCTGTCGACCCTAAATAGCGTGTTAGAAGACGTTGCCTCTTCGATTGTACTATGATGCATAGTACTCTGCGCTCTCTGAGGTGGTGTATGCGCAGAGTACGCTCGTCTTGGTCGCGGTGGCCGTGCCATCAATGGCTGTGGTCGACTTGGGAGAGTTGTTGCCTGAAAGCTATTGTGTCTGGAAGAACGGCGAGAGACTTGACCCCCCATAATGGAGTCTGACGTGGGGACGGTAGGAACGTGCGAGTACAGACTAAAATCATCTGGCTCTTTGACCATAGACTGGCATTTTCGGGCCCTGCTTAGAGTGGGCCATGGCTCCCCAGGCCGGTAGGAGGCAGATGGAAGAGACTGCGACCTCCTCGTGCATACATCAGGCTCAGGGGCCTTGAGAGAGATGGAAGTTCCGGTCCAAGGGTCTTGCCAAGCAGTACAAGCCGGGCATTCTGTAGGAGAGCTGGTGCCGGAAGTCTGACAAGATGCGCGGAAGCTGTTCGAAGCTAGCGTTGCCCTATTCGGAGGCGGTTTTGACAGCCGATTGGTGCGGCGACGCTTTTCTTTGCTCTGTACTGAAAGGAAGCCTCCCATGGCTTCCTTCTTGAGTGAAAACTGAAGTGAAGGCTTCAGAAGAACCTGATCCTCTCACCTAAAGGTGCGAGGCAGACATGGGCAGGCCGCAATGTCAGACAATTCAACAAATGGCGTCCAGTGGCTGGTAAACAAAATCACTTCAGGGCTTAAGCCGGTAGTGCCATAACAGTGGTCAATCTCCTGCAGAAGAAACTTGGGTACCAACGAGGCTGAAAGCACCAGGCTCCTGCCTATGAGGTAGAGAGGCCGAGTGGACGTTTCGAAAAGTTTCGACGACGTCAACCCCAGGTCGATTTGAAAGACTTAGTAGAACACGCAGGGGAAACAAAAGGAGGATTCTGGACGGGACTGGTTCGAGCTTTCGCCCGAGGCGCTGACTTGCGACGCTCAAGCTGGTAAGAACCAGAAGAGCGTAGTTAGATGATGGGGCAAAAAAGCAAAGACGACCAGCTATATAGGCAGCGAGAATGACGCGCTACTTAAAACAAAAGACAGGACAATGAACTGTTGTAATGAAAAAGAAATACAGCACGGGCGGAATCAGCCACGTCCAACTAGCGGGTTTTCTCCCTCCTGATTTGCTTTATACTGTAGATAGGCAGACAGAATGGAGATGTCAGGAGGAGAGGCACTGAAAGAGTAGTAGTGGAGGGTGGGAGACGACGAAACCAGGAGTGGTGAGGATGTATTATGCAATAGTAGAACAAAGGAGGTACAAGAAGGGGAAAAAGAATATTATCAGATTACCGCAATCCCTGGTCGGCCAGGTAAAGATGGGGAAAAAGGAATAAAAGAAAAAAAAAAAAAATTCAGATTCAAATTAAGAATTAAAATCAAAAACACGGGGTTGAACGGGATGAAGCGGATGGAAAAGAAAGATAGATTAAGAATCGTAGCTGGGGTAAGTAAGGGAAATCAGATACATAAGTGGAGTGGAGATGGACTGGGCTGCCATGGTTGAGGATGCACGAAAGACACCACAGTGACGAATGCGTTATCCACAGGCAACTGTAGCTCTCACGGACAACGGAATTGGGAACGAGAAGATGGATCGGCAGGTTGCAGACGGTCGGGGAAGGGAACCAGCTACTGACAAGATCATTGTGTAAGAGCGAGAGACCGCGTGTGGATGTGGATGTGGGTAAGGGTGTCAGAGTAAATGGAGCTAAGAAAGAGCAAACACACCCGGATATTATTCACCAGCCAGCCAAGGTACCTTTTTCGTGCCCTCTTTGACAATAGGAATTGGAGAGGGATGTGGATGGAGCCATGGGAATGGACGGTCAAGGTCAGCCTTGGACTGGCGTGGTCCTTTCAGAATTCAGACTTTCGGACACAACGCCATCCCTGAAAGCGGACAAGTCAAAGCAAGAATTGCACCGGCGATGCCCGCTAGAAGCACCCAAGAAAAAAAAAAAATAATATTAGATAAATAAAATAAAAATCATACCTAAGTACCTAACACTAAAAAGAAGGCAAAAGAGGGAAACGAGTGAATGCATGATGAGGGAGGGGTATCCGTAGTAAAATCAGTAATTTTGCTTGGTTGACTTAGTCGGCTACTTTTGTTGATTTATTATACACATAGGCAGGCTGATTGACTATTCTTTAATATCATTATCATCATCATCATCATTATTACTTATTTTTTTTTTTTCTCTTTCATGATTACCATACACGACTTATGATCATACCATGCATCGTCGGATGTTTGTCTGATGTGTCTGCAGTTAGTTATCTGCTTAGTTATTAGCTATTTAGCAGCTAGTCTAGCTGTTCTTCTAGCTAGTATCTCGTCGCTATCCCTTTAGGGGGACTGGCAAAAGCTCTCCCTACCAGATATGGACTAAACAATTTTTCTTAGTTCGACCCTCATTGGGATCGCATTTGGATCGTCAGGACCATCGTTTGTTTTAGCTCCAGCCGTGGATCCCTCCAGGGGTGGAAAGCTTGATGACGATGGAGCCTTGATTGGTGCTGGGCTGGCCGCAAGCAGAACTAGGCGACTAGTCCTTCCTTCCGGACCTTGGTCAGTGAAAGTAGTCAGGATGTTACGGAGGAGAATGCTGTTCCCGCCTCTCCGAGTTATGGATCCTTGGTTCTAATCACCACCTACGGGATAATACTACGAACCAAGGTTTCCTTTTCCTTCCCTATAGGTACCCAGGCAGAATTGAAGAAACTGAATGAATCCATTGCATCCCGTCTTTGGTTAACAACAGCTCCTACTCATTCCGTATCTAATGTATTCTACTTTCCCGATCTTCTCCTTGGGTACCTCCATTCAATCCCACAAGTCACCTACTCCGGACATGTGTACTTTTTTTTTGAATAACTACAATTAGCCACCGCCACTATCACCGCCTCCCTCTTGAACAACTGTATCGTAAGTTAGTCTACACGCAGTATTCCGTACTACTGCTGTTGTTAACTGACTAGTAAGTTTAACTAGTCGTTCGGCTCTAGTTTAGTCATGTCGGTATTTTAGCGTCGTTTAGATTGATTGTTCTGCCTAGTTTCCACCGCTTTTGCCCCCCTCCCGCCCCGCCCCCCGTCTGTCAATCCGTCTTCGTTCAGAATCAAGAAGTACGTATGTAGCTATCTAGTATACTACAGTAGTAAACAGGGCTGGAAAGTAGGTAGTATCATGATTATGCTGTTTTAGTAGGACCTGTCTGTCAGCATCGACAGCACCGACATCAGCACCAACCCCCGCACTGTCCATCTTCCGAATTGGTCTCTTTTCTTCAACATTCGATTTACCCTTTTCATTATCGGTGTATCATAGATGGGTCTAAGATCCAGAGATTGAACCCCCTTTGAGTCAGGTCATCTCCGATTGAGTCCTTCTTGATTCCGTGGTTCCATCTTTTACTGCTTTGGAAACCTTTCCCGTTCCGGCGCTCGGCTCGCTCCCTCCTGGTCGGGTCATCCGAAAGCTCCAGCTAGACTAGTACTACTATCTACTGACTCGATAGACATCCCACCCGCAGCTGCGACGTAAAACAGCTGCAAGCAAGAAGGGAGGGTTTCTAACCCGAGAACGGACTGGTTAGTCAACCCACATCGCTCACGAACTGGATCGCTGTCCTCTGGGGCGTACAGAACCAGTGTTTCTGCAACGCAGACGCTTCTGCAGCGCTTGTCTGTCGGTCAGTGATCGGATTACACCGCGTCTTTACCAGTCGTATGGCGTCTTCTCTTTCGAGTCGACGGACCTTATCGGGGTTTCCTTTACTCACTGCCGAGGAATTTGAAACCGCCTGTCACGCCTTTCTAGGTCGGGTTCACGTGGTGGATGATAGCAAGGTGGGATGGTCCTCCATCCGTCTCGATCAGCGGGTAAGTTAGTTGCCTCGCTTCAGGTCGTTCGGCTTTGTTCCACCCTCCTTCTCTTGTTGGCTGTCGCTTGAGGGAAAGAATCATGGGAATCTGCGCGACAGTGATTGGAACATTGGCTAGGAAGATGGCCTGAACTATACACATCAATCCTTTTCCCCTTTCTTCCCCCCCCTCCTCTTCACCCTCCCCCTGCTACACCCCACTCCTAGCTAAATCCATTAGGCAACCGGGCCCATCTTGAGTATTGCAAGGGATATCGGTCATGTGGGTACTCGTGATCGCGACGAGCCCCTCCCGGACCCAGAGATGAACGAAGAACTACAGTGGAAGGCCTCGGAAGAAGATCCCGTCCGTCGAGCTGGAACCCTTTCCATTCCGCTCTCAATTTTAAAAGTATCGTCTAACATCAAACAGGAAGCTCTCATTCGTGCGCCCGAGACCAGTGTCCGTTTACAGGTGATTTATAATATTCTGCTTTCTCCCACGTACCACGTCCCTGTCTTGTATTTCCAGTTACGGCAGGACAACCATCCGGGGCCGCTGGGAATTGACGCAGTCTACCAATACCTGGTACCGGAACAGTACAGAAAGGAACTCCAGAGCATTGGCATCATGGGTGGTATTAGTTTTGGCGTATGTGCAAGTTCTCGAATCCCTAGCCCAAGCTGGAGCTTATGCTTCGTAGTATCGTCCAGACTCCGGAACTCCAGCATTTTTCGTTCATCCATGCCAAACAACGGATGCGATGAGGCACATTGCAAGACAGCTCTGTCTCACTCCCGAGATTTATCTCATAATCTGGCTCGGGTTGGTGGGTAACCGTCTCGGTCTTCAGCTGCCAAAGGAATTCTTCACAGTCGAAGGCATGGAGACATTCCAAGGCACTGCGTGACTAAGTTTAAATCGATCCAAGAGTACTTCCTCCCCTCTCAGGTTGGATTCCCCCGGCCTGGCCAACGTATTCCCGGTACATAAGAGAAGCAATTAATCTTCATCCGATGAAGCTTCCATTGGCACATCACTGTCCTCGTCCATAGGGGCTTCCTCTTCGTCGCTTTCATCTTCACGAGGCCGCTTGACACCTTGGCCTGCTTGGGGTTCTCCATTAACTTCTCCGCTGGGCTTCGACGGCAAAGCCGCCGATCCTGGGGGCCCGCTAAATATCGATTTTTGGAGCTCTGTGGATGCTCCCGTGGCTTGACTGGCAGATGTTGTAGTGGGCACATTATACGTTCCGCGCAGCCGGGCAATGACGTCCGAGGGACCCTTAGCATACACGATTTTCTATATTCCCGAGTCAATGAGCGAGGAACAACCGCACTGCACTATGCAAAAACATACCATTTGTTTGCCGAAAAACTCAAACCCCTGAAGAGCCCGCATAGCCTGTGTGCTAGCTTGAACATCCTTAAAAACAATATGGGCCTGACCACGCATCTTTTGGGTCTTCATGGCAACAACATCAAGAACGGTGCCGTAGGTTGAAAAAAGCATATAGAGGGATAGCCGTAGGTCATGCTTGCGCAGCTTGTCTGGGAGGTTGGTACAATACAAACTGCAATTGGGGTCAGCCATGATGCCCACTTTGAATTGGGAAGCAGTATTCAAGACTAACGTTTGGTTAGGGAGTCCGGTAGCAGAAGCGGGTTTACCTTGACCACCACCGCGCGCTGGAAGAACTCTGGTTGCCATCACTGCAGAGCGACGAAGGAGACCCGAGGGCAAAATAGAGCACTTTCCCAACAATACCTAGAGCAAAAGTCCGAAAAGCACACCTCGTCCAGGGAAGGAAACCAATGTAAAGTGAAACCCGAAGACAGCACAGCTTGCGATGCAAATGAAGTTGAACCTGGATTGAGTGAGAAAAGGTCATGTGATATATTATCTAATCATAGCCAATCCCGCCCGCGTCATCGTTCGGGGCCTAGCTTGGGCTGTGGTACTCCGTATACTGCCCACCTTTCCCCCCTCCCCCTTTCCGGTTGTTAACCATCGTACTTTACCTCGATTCTTCTGTCTCAATCACACGGCAGTAGAGAGCTCCTCCTGTCGTCTACTCACCATGGCCGCTCCCGAAGCTCATCACCTCTTCCACAACCCAATCGCCGATCATTCTTTCTCTCCGGATAAGGCGACCCTTGCAGTTGCGCGGGAAAACAATGTGGAGCTTTATCAGAAGTCAGGCAACAAGTTCTCGTTGACCGATGAACTCAAGGGCCATGAGAAGACGGTGACTGGTGTGGATATCGCTCCTAACAGTGGGCGTATCGTTACTTGTTCTCAGGGTAAGTTAACCCCCTCTCCCTTGTCCTGCAATAGTTCCGTCTAAGTGACCACGGGAACAGACCGCAACGCCTACGTCTGGGAGCGGACCCCCACGGGTTGGAAGCCAACGCTGGTTCTCCTTCGGATAAACAGGGCTGCTACATTTGTACGGTGGTCACCATCTGAGCAGAAGTTCGCTGTTGGATCTGGTGCTCGCGTGATCGCGGTGTGCTATTTTGAAGAGGAGAATGACTGGTGGATCTCGAAGCACTTGAAGAAGCCCATCCGCAGCACTATTACAACCCTTGCTTGGCATCCAAACTCCGTTCTTCTGGCTGCGGGGTCGACTGACTCCCATGCCCGGGTGCTTTCTAGCTTCATCAAGGGTGTCGACACGCGCCCGGAGCCCAGTGCCTGGGGTGAACGGCTGCCTTTCAACACAATTTGTGGCGAATTCTTAAATGACTCGGCGGGCTGGATTCAAGGTGTCTCCTTCTCTCCCAGTGGAGATGCGCTTGCCTTTACTGGCCATGATAGCAGTGTCACCGTCGTATATCCGAGCGCGCCGGAACAGCCGCCTCGGGCGATGTTGACCATCGCCACTCGTCTTCTGCCTTTCAACAGTCTGATCTGGAACGGCGAGAACGAGATCATCGCCGCAGGCCACGTATGTCTTCTAAACAATCAATTTCAGCAGATGATCCAGTACGACACGTGTCGCTAACAGGAATTAACAGGATTGCGAACCGTACCGCCTTCGCGGTGACGAGAACGGATGGCAACTTGCTGGGACCATTGAGAGCAAGGCAGGGCCGGGTGCTGGAAGCGCTCGCGAGGAGTCTGCTCTTAACATGTTCCGCCAAATGGATCTTAAGGGACAAACCCAGGCCGATACCCAACTTAAGACTACGCATCAGAATACCATCAGCACCGTTAGAGTCTACGAGGAGGCCGATGGCGTCGTTCGCAAGTTCAGCAGTAAGAGATGCTCCCCTGCTAAGTTGTCCTGTGGGTTGCGCTAACATTTAGATAATAGCGAGCGGAGTCGATGGCCGTGTTGTTATCTGGACCATCTAGACAATTACATATTGTGCTAGATACGTTCTTAGCACAGAGGTTCTAGCAAATTGAATGCAATGGACCCTTTACTGCATCACGAGAATATGGAGTTTGGAAAATAGCTTCAGGTAGATAGATTCTGCCCATTCGATGTATACATTATAAATATCAAGGGCACTTGATTTGCCTCGTATCTGATGGCCCTACATAAAGTAATAAACCAATTGCTAGTTACCCTGTAGGCCGTAGTGACTACTTGTGACGGCGTAATATGTCGGTATGATCTACCCGTAAGTTTACGCAAGGATACGTGCATCGTGACCGACTCCACATCACGGGGTCAAGTCAGGGTTCCCCAGATTCCTCTACGTCACGGGTTTGGCAAGTCTCCTTTCACTCTCCCAAGTTTCAACCACGATTCTCTCAGCTGCTGCACCGCAGCAGATACTACCAAAGACGATGAAGAAGTCCTCAGCGCTATGATAGCTTTCAATGTGTTATTCAATCCCTACTCCTTAATCCTCACATACTTCTCCTTACTCTTGCCGGTTCGCGGATTCGTTCGCTCTGAAACGGACCGCATACCTTCAGGCCAGGACTTACGCCCTATCCCTGAGGAGATTTACAACTCTCTGGATGAGCTAGCGCGTGTGGTCGATGTCGCCTACTGCGTTGGCAGCACTGGGCTTCAGAAGCCCTTTCAGTGCCTGAGCCACTGCAGTGACCTCAAGGGGTTTGAGCTAATAACTGTAGGTCGTCCTGCCGTGAGCAGGAGACTCCAAATGATTAACCCTTTTGCTAGACATGGAATACTGGGCCGTTTCTATCGGACTCTTGTGGATACATAGCAGTTTCGCATTCGCCGTCACCTAACCGTATCATCGTCGCTTTCCGTGGTACCTACTCGATTACCAACACGATCGTTGATCTATCTGCCTATCCACAAGCCTATGTGCCGTACAACACCGGACATAAGAATGGCAAAAAAGAACCAAGCTGTTACAATTGCACTGTCCACGCCGGTTTCTTCACTTCGTGGCAGAACACGCGCTCGACGATACTCGACCACGTCGCAGCCGCAAGGGAGCAATATCCCGACTATAAGTTGGTTCTAGTTGGCCACTCACTTGGTGGGGCGGTTGCTGCGCTGGCTGGTATTGAGATGCAGCTGCGAGGTTGGGAACCTACGGTGACGACATTTGGAGAACCGAAGGTTGGAAACAGGGCCTTTGCCGAGTTCCTGGGTAAGATATTCAGGTTGGACGAGAACTCCGCATGGCGGTTTCGCAGGGTCACGCATGTTTATGACCCTGTGCCCCTCCTGCCACTGGAGGAATGGGGATATGCGATGCACGCGGGGGAAATCTTTATCTCCAAGGAAGATCTTCCGCCATCTGTAGATGACGTTCACTTCTGCGAGGGCCCTCGCGATGCACGATGCATATCAGGGGAAGGAGGGGAAATGGCCTTGGCGGTCGCTCTTCATGAAAGGGCGTCTCTGGCTGCAGATGCGAAGTCGCAGGCTGGCTGGGCTGACGCTGAATCTACCGAGCAGCACAATATGCCAGACGGACATATATCTCAAACATCCTTGCACGTGCAGGAAGGTGCCATGAAGCACCGGGGCTTATTTGATCTACCAAGACGACTTATCCCGTCTAGATACCACCTATGGGAACTCTTGTTCTCTCATCGGGACTACTTTTGGCGAGTTGGGCTCTGTGTCCCTGGTCGTGACCGGGCAGGCAAGGGGTGGTGGACGTCGGATTCGTAGTCCCGATATTCTTCTTACCTACAAAGGGATGACCCAAGTCATACATGGCTGTATGAGCGAGTGCACGTATGAAAGACTGGTCTTCTTGATACATTTGATTCATATTCCTACTTCTAATCGAGTCAAGTATGCAGCAATACAGCTAGCTAAATATCCACGAAATCATAAGTCCCTTAGAATACTCCCTTTGAAGTTCGCACTCGGTGGGCTGATCTGAGCCCAAGAGCTGAGCAACATAAGCACAAGCACATGATCTACAGCGCAAGCAAGGGTCACAAGTAAATTGAACCCAATCTGATCTGCAAGCCACCTGCAGTCCCCACAGAATAACTTAAAACAATCATTATCACCGGACAGCGGGGGGTCACCCCGATGAACTCAAACCGCGGCATAGTAAAAAGCACTCAGTAGATGATTCTGAGACCGCATGACAACTGAATTTCATTTCACCCCTCTTTTAATGTACTTATGGTTTGGCTTCCCTGCGTCGAACTTCAACCGTAGCTTGCTTACTGCATATGTATAAGTACGTGTTCATATCGCGTTTAAGTCGCTCACTAAATACTAGCACTTACGATTTGTGATGTTATGGGGGTTCCGTCGATGAATCTACATGATGTATTAGTGATAGTGCATACATATAATGGAATATATTGTGGGCTTGCAGTTGCATCATGGGCACCGGTGCCTTACTTTGTTTTCTTTTTGGCATGCTTAGTATTAGATATTGGCATTTCTCTATTTCTTTTATCGTGTAATCATGACGTATTATTAGTTTAGTACTATTAGTTTTGTTGGGTTGAGAATCTGTATTGGGTGCGGCCGTGTATTGATGTATATATCATGTGGCCCACAATCATAAATATCAAAGTTGAACATGTAACTGTGTATACCATGTGATTTTATATATTGGGCTAAAGGACTGCAGTATGCTAGATTTTGTCCAGTCTAACGATATAGAGGGGCAACTGTGGGGAGGGACTGAGTGACCGTTGGCTATGGGCCTCGAATGCGAGATCGTAGAGTTCGATCAATTTTGGAATACCTGCAACTACTTATGTTGCGATATGAGAAAAAGAAAAAAATAAAAACAAAAAAGACAACAGGAGATAGCATTGCTAGGGATATCGATGCGTTTGCTGCTACAATTCTGGACGGGACAGGTATGTTGAATGATTAAAGACGACAGCATGAAAGAAAAGCAGTTATAAATTGGACAAAGAAAGAAAGAGAAAACAAAGGACAAAGAGAATAAGTGCAGAAGAAACGGCTGAAAGAAAGAGAGAATACAATGAGGCCATCAATCATAACACATACTCCAAGCGTCATCACTTTCCTGGCTCCAGGCTAGGAACAATCACAGGCCCATACTTGACCACAGCACCAAATGTCCCATCACCCTGCACCATATAGTCCACCGCAAGGTTCAACTTCCCACTTCCTTGGCCTGGATGACCGTACATCGTGTTGACAATATCCGGATCATAGGCAACAATCGCAACATAGTTCCGACGACCAATCAGCTTCCGGTGTTCACGAGGCTGACCAGTAACATCAGACTGAAACAGCTCCAGCATGTCTTCCTTAGTATCGGTAGGCTTTGAGGGAGTCGAGCGTTGACCGTTAGCTGGGACATATAGGGGTTTGTTGCTACCATGGAGAAGCTTGATGACATATGATGGTGGAGGGTTGTTAACCACAGGTGACGAGATAAGTTGATACATGGTTTTATGGTTGGAGGGGAAAGAGGGATCATGCACGAGTCCGGCACCACAGGCGTTGACGGCACCCGAAAGGAAAGTCATGCGGAGCGACTTTTGATGCGCAATGCCCTGGAGGGTGCGAATAAGGTAGGTTCTCTCAAGATCCTGTCCATGCGGTTAGTTCTGTGGTTGTGCACCGATAGTAAATATAGTCTGGGGTTAGACGTACCTTGGACTCATGGGTCCACTGATCACGCAACTCATCTAAAAGATCAAGTTCACCGAAAGGACTGAGGATTCCGCCCATCAGACCGGTTTTGCCCACAGCCCGTTTAACCGAATCGAATCCCGACCCAACCATGCCCTTGGCTCCAACTACGCCAGCCACGGAGCTGGTGACTTTTCCAAGGGCATTATATGCCCCCGTGACTGCCCTCTTCCCCGTAGCAACCGTGTGTGCTATGTGTTCAGCAGTCTCCAGGCGCGGATAGATAATTGGCACCGAAAGCATCCACAAGCAATGCTGCACGGTTGGGGGTAACATGGCAACCTTGGGGAAGATTCCCTGATACGTGGGTCCAGCAACGACCTGGTGTGGATTGCGCTCTGAGCGACAGTCAAGGCCGACGGCAACAACAGCGGGCCCCAGGTATTTGACAAAATGCCAGCCAGTGCCGGTGATGGTAAACAGATCGACGTCGCTCCGCGAATTACGGAGCAGGTCCAGTGTGGTATGGTGCTGAAACAGCAGATACATCTCTATCCCTACTCGTCCAATGTTCTTGAACATGTTGGAGAACTGCATGTGCTCTGGGTAGGATCCAAATCCGTCGAAGCTAGCTTCATCAGCATTGGCTCCTTTTGGAGGGGGGGAAGGCACAGACTTACATATCATGATCATCAATCTGACAGACATAAGGGATCTGAGCAAAGGCTTCTCTCAGATAGGGCTGATCGAAATGGCTCGTATAATAATGAAAGTAGGCATGAGAGACGTCCTCTTCATGGGCAGTTGTCCATGGCGTCTTCTTCCGGATTTCTTTCCCACTGAGTGCAAGCCATTGTTTGAGGCATGGAACCTCCTTCCACATCCGATCGGCATATATCTGGCCTCCCAGACACAGTTGGGCATGGAATCCTCCAATCTCATTATGCTTCTGCATGATGTCTTTCCACATAAAGCCCACACCGCCGAGGCGGGATCGCTCATTGGCATTCACATTCATAGAAAAATCGTTTCCCGAAGTGGTGATAAAACGCCAACCAGTCTCGTATCGTCCCGCAACTAGGAATTCGTAGCGTGTGCAACCAAGATGTGAGGTGATGGCGTAAGTCCATTTGGCGGGGCCGGCGTCTTCCATACGTAAATCAATTTCGTACTTGTAGAAGGTCCACCGCTGATGGACTGCAATCGGCATGGCTTTGAGCTGACGCGGATTCGGAGACAGGTCGACACTCTGGTGAATATGAATGGTGGGAGGCTGTGCGGCATCTGTCACCAAGAGAATGGAGCCGAGCCAGATGCCTCGCTCTACATCCATGTTGGTGTAACGGAGATAGGGGCCAAAATAGACCCCATTTGTGGGAGCAACTTTGTACATATCAATCCCACTAATTGGAGGGGGCCCAGTAGTGAACCCTGACACAATTGGGGATTGTAAACTCTCAAACCCTGGAGTCAAGGGAAGACCAGGGGATGCCAAGGGTTTGCCGAACGTTGATAAAGCGGGCGATGCCAGAGGATGACTGCTATATACGCTGCCTACCGGGGATAGCGGGGTTTCGTTGAGGTTCAAAGGGGTCGGACCCTTGGGAAATTCCCACTGCGTGGACTGAGTCGGGAGATGAATATAGTAGTATTGGCC